AGGCAGAGGATGGCCGCCATTTTCATTTGTTGATGCGGTCGAGCGGCGGCATCCCTGCACTTTTGCGACCACAAAATGTGAACATCAAATATTGAAAACATTTCCCCAACCGTGCTGGGCTGTGTGCCGACTTTTTACGGCTGCCTGGCCAGGGAAGTGGAAGTGGCTGTGGATGTGATGCCCCTTCCCCTGGTGACATGGTCGGGAAAAAGAGTTCTTTTTGGCAGAAATTCCGGAGGCGAGCCGCGCCTGATTGGTTTCTTGGCAGCCCAAGATATGCAACGAGGCCCATTCCGTTGCTGTTTACTCACATAAACCCGACTTGCAACTTATTGCCATGTTATCTCTGATTTTGGCACCGTCACAACGGCAATCGGGTGCAGCCGCGTCCTGAGTAATTGGGAGCGATGCCTTCAGTCTTGCATCTCGATATGTGACTTAGTTGGTCCATGTTTACCCAGTGATAAGGCGTCCAGATGGGAGGGCAAATATTATAAATGGAAAGATTAAGAAATGTGAGAAAGGAGATTGACTAACAACTTCCCTTCCATAATTTACCTTTATAGATTTTTATACATTTATGAATATTTAAGCCATATTTTCTTTAACGCATTTCCCATGAAAATTCAACAGTAAACTCCAAATTTTCCTCTAGTAATTTCAGTTTAAATCACTTATTCTTACTTGGCTGGCTCCACTTTAATTTCCTTCAAAGCATTTCGAATATTTCATTAAACTTTGGCTCCATAAATTACAATAAATTTCATTCATTTAATATTCTCCTTAGAGAAAGAGCCCCCGCTTGCCCCGTCTCCGCAGTGCAATCTCCACCGTTGTCTGCCGCCTGTGAGGCGATTCCATCTAATTTGCTTGGTTCGCCTGCACTTTGCTGGGAATTTGTTCGTTGTCGCAATGCCATAAATTCTGCAACTTATGCGGCCAACTGGCCGCCTCCTAATGCCCTGCCCTCGTCCCCCCTTTTCTTGGCTATAAATTACAAGAAGGCATTTGCCACACTTCCGTTCTCGGCTCGGCTCGGTTTCGGCCTGGTCTGCAGTGTCTGCCGTGTCTGCAGTTTCCTTTGGCTGGGCTGGAGTTATTTTTGTGCCTTAAATCGGCTTAACTGGCCGCCGGGCCCGGTCCGGGGTATGGTAGTAGTAGTTGTAGTTGGTTCATCTGGGCCCAGGAGCGGTGGTCTGAAAATCAATAACCCAAAGGAACTGCCATTGTTGTCGCCGTTGTCCATGGCAATAGCATTTAAATGGCCAGGAGGGCTTCTTGAAATTCACCTTTGAAAAGCCAGCAACTTTAACACTTCCCCGTCGCATATGATGATGGCATGGCAAACAACCCCAGACTTGGGCCATCCCCAGATATATATATGTATATATAGTTTCTACAGTCTGGCTTCGTTCGACAGACGAGTGGAGTTAGCAAAGGGCGTTGTAATTCTAGACCAGACACTGCCGCCGTTGGCGACGCATTGTCTGGCAGACGGACGCTGGTGACGAACAAATGTGGCAAAACGATTTATTTGGCTTTATCAGCAGATTCGCGTCTCCTTTGTCTCCCGTCGAAGGAGTCGCATTAAGTGCTCCTCTCGCGTAACGGCGATTTGTCATATCGCTGATTTACTAACCTTGCATCAGGCATTATCTCTGGGCCTGGGCTCTCGTAACCGGAATCGGAATTGAAAGGCAGGCCTGGAAGTGGTGGTATTCCACCCCTGCGAGTAACTAACCCAGGGTGGAGAAGAGGGTGACTTTTTTGCCGAGGGTGTAACTAACCGACACAAGTGCAGCCGGGATATGTCTGTGTGTTTGCCTGCGCATATCGCCGGCATCAACATAAAATTTATTGAGGTAGTTGCCAAGCGGCTCTGGCAAACAAAACGAACATGGAAAAAAAGAACAGGGTTCCTTAACATGCAAACGTTTCTTTTCCATTTTTTATTTATTTCTTTTTTTTTGTGCCCAGAGTTGCCACTGACGGAAAAAGAGGGAAACCCTGTTGTCATAACAAGCATGCATAAAAAATGATGGCCAACATCGGGCACACACACTCGCAAGCCAGCAAGTGTTGCAAATTGAAAGAGCTCACCTGAATAGCTCCGACCCGGGCCCGGGCCCGTAAGAATGAATGGACGCATCCCTAAATTGGCCCTGGAATGTGGCCAGTCTTTGTCCGGCATAATCCCTCCCCTCAGAATGCCAAGTATTTGCCAACACTGCGTATGGGTAATGCCTTTTATCGATATGTTTGTTGTGCTCCTAATGGAATTCCACATGCCCGCCGCATCCTGCGTCGTTGTCTACCATTCCAACTGGCTCAATATCCATTGGTCGTCCTGTGTTTATTATTAATTTCCTTGCACTGGCTGGATAAAGCGCTTTTCCTGCACATTTTCATGGCGCCCCCTGGTGTTTTTCCTCCCCATGCAGCCCCGTTTGTGGTTGTCGCCAACACTTTCCACTCACAGCTCGCTGCGTTTTCGCGCCCAACGACGAACGAGCCTGGCTGTATATTTACATCATATACAGGATGTGCAGAGTCCCTGGAAAAGGACGTTGTTGTTACTGGCTGGCTGATGGCGTTTATTGTCATGGCGCACACTGCAGTTGTCATAAATATGCGTCCTGGGCTAAATATTTGCACTGAAGGATTGCCGCTGCGTTACATCTGCATCGTAACCCGCATCCCATCGTAGTTGGCTTTGCCGGCGGCCGGCCAGGTGTCAAATGTCATTAGGAATAGGTCCCACAAATTTATTTCATTCAATTTTTTTCTCGAATCGTTTCGGAACAACAACCTCTCTGGCCGCAGATTAAAACATTCCAAAAAGAAAGAAAAGAAAATATTGTTTGCAAGCGAAATTTCGAGTCTTCGAAGGAAATTTATAAAATCTAAATTCTTCTTTCCGGCTTCTTGTGCAATGGAGGTCAACGTTAAGCAAGTCGATGGAGGCGGCGGCGAGCTGCTGTCCAGGATCCTCAAGGATCGCCCCCATATCCCGATACCGATTTCGTTTGCCTTACGCAGTGAGTAGAGAGAGGGCTCTTCGGCGGCTTCCCATCGATATCAATCGAAAAGTGTTTCAATGTCAGCGAAGTGTGTGTGTGTGTGGAGCGGAGAACCAAATATTTGCCAGCATACGGAATTTGCGATATACATAAAAGCCAGCGGGGCGAGGCGAGGGAAAGAGCAACAAACAAAAAGCGAAGCGCTAGATAAATATTTAGAAATGTTCGCTCGCTTCGCTCATAATCTAGCGCTGCTTCCCTCTCGTTATAGAGCTTGCTGATATTTTGCACATGTTACGCAATTATCGCTCTGGGCAAGTTTTTTTTTTCGCTCTTGCTTTTTTATTTCATTTTTTTTGCAATTTGTTCGCTTCTCGTGTGTGTTTGCCTGCCTGCAGCTTGCTTCGTTTTTTGTTTGAACGTGGTGTCACACACACTGAAAATAGCTTTGCTGATAGTGCGGCTGCTAAGGTAGATTTCTATGATTCCTATGTAGATATATATGTGTGCTCACTTGTCTGTATAAGTGCACATGTGTTTGCCACTTGACAACTGCGGAAAATTTGCATTTTCATTATGAGTCGTTGCCATAAATATTCATTTATGATAAATTGCTGAATGCAGCTGCAGTCGTGTCTAAAGAGAACAGCTCTCCTGTGTCTTGGCCCACTACATTTATGCAGTGGAAAAAATAAAATTAGAAAAGGTTTGATAACCTTATTAAAGTTGGGTTATAACACTATATTAATAAAAACTGTATAGTAACTACAAAAAAGTGTTTGCATATAGAATAAATAAAATTGTTTATTAATAAATTGAGAAACCACACAAATATATACATTGTTGTTTGCAAATTATTTAAACATGAATATATGATAAGCAAACAAAAAATACAAAATTAAAGCTTTAATGAGACCTTAAATAATTAAAATTTAGTCACAAAAAAAAAAATAACTAATTTTTGAAATAAATTCGCTAAGCTGAGTAAATCTTAAAACTGGTATCCAACAAAATTTAACAATCTAGTGTCATAACACCACAAAAGATGCATTAATTGGTAGAAACATTGTCTATTTTATTTTATATTTCATGTAAGAAAAACCACTTAGCATTATGTATTCAAACATGAATACTTAATGAAAAAAAAATAAAAAAAATAGTAGGTGACACTACATTTTTTAATTTCCTTTTTCTCAATAACACTTATAGAAGATAAATTCATACATTGTATTGCTCAGTGGCAAGCAAAAATCATTGCAATTATTCATTCTTTATTACCTGTGATATTCGCATATAAAACATCTAATTTCAATTTGCTACATAGAAACCAAGTGTTAATTTCAACAATTCCAGAAGCCTACAATACAAGTGCCATCAAAAGGTGCCTTAGACTAGAGAACTATCAACGGAGAACCAGATATATGTTTAGATTTCTCTGCGGTTGCTATGGCAACTGCTACGTCACGCTTATCGCTTTATCGCTCGTTAAGCGAACCTCCACATGGCGTATACGCAACGCGGCACGCATAATTCGCAAATCGGGCCTCTTTTCGATTGTTTACATTTTGGCCAGCACCTTTTGCCGCTCTCTTCTTTCGCTTCTCACGCACTTTTCGTGAGTATATTTTGGCACTCGCTCTCTGACTGGCGATTTTTGTGCGTTTCGCATTTTGTTTGAAGTCAATGAACTTTACGCTTTGTTGTCTGAGGGCTCTCTCGCCGTCCGGTGCGTGCGACGATGCGTAAGTTGCGAATTGTTCTATTTCGCAAATTTCGCGCGACCCATTTTTTTCAAGCAGCCGCAATTTGTTGCTATTTTGTGGCGTTCGTTGAACTCGTCAAGATAAATAAATGGGGCGCGAGAAAAATGTGCGTCTCCAAGGGAATACAAACGTAAGACGATATCTGCTAATTGGGGAATATCTTTCTTATTTATTTACCATTTAAGATTGTAATAATCATTTGCCTATCTATTTTCAGAAATGGCGGAGGGTAATGGCGAACTGTTAGATGACATTAATCAGAAAGCCGATGACCGTGGCGATGGCGAACGTACGGAGGACTATCCCAAGCTGCTGGAATACGGTCTGGACAAGAAAGTGAGTCCACATAAATATAAGGTATACCCCTAGAATATGGTAATGTTTTATTATTAATACGCCTAGGTTGCCGGCAAACTGGATGAAATCTACAAGACCGGAAAGCTGGCTCACGCCGAGCTGGACGAGCGCGCCTTGGACGCGCTCAAGGAGTTCCCCGTCGATGGTGCCTTGAATGTGTTGGGTCAGTTCCTCGAATCGAACCTGGAGCACGTGTCAAACAAGTCTGCCTACTTGTGCGGCGTAATGAAGACGTACCGCCAGAAGAGTCGAGCCAGCCAGCAGGGTGTACCAACGCCCGCTGCAGCTGTTCAGGTTAAGGGACCCGACGAAGACAAGATCAAGAAGATCCTCGAGCGAACCGGCTACACATTAGATGTGACGACAGGTGAGATAAGCAAACTACTATATAATAAAGAATGAAACGAAACTTAATAGAATAAGTTGCTCTCTGTGTTTTATTACTGTAAAATATTAATTAATTCATGTTTACGATTTATTTTCCCCTTTGCAGGCCAGCGTAAATACGGCGGACCGCCACCGGACTGGGAGGGCAATGTGCCGGGCAATGGGTGCGAAGTGTTCTGCGGCAAGATACCCAAGGACATGTACGAGGACGAGCTGATCCCGCTCTTCGAGAAGTGCGGCACAATCTGGGACCTCCGCCTCATGATGGACCCGATGACGGGCACAAATCGTGGTTATGCATTTGTCACATTCACAAATCGCGAAGCAGCCGTCAATGCAGTGCGCCAGGTATTTAAGCCAACCACATTCTCCATACCACCATGACCACCACCACCACCAACCGCCCCCACCGACCAGAGCGATCCCTGCCCCGCCCCCAATCAGTCTTCCCCGCTTTAATGTTTTATACGTATTGCTAACTATTACGATATATACATATCCCCTATATATATACATATTTAACTTATTGTATCCACATAAATACTATCGTTACACATCGGAAAAAGTAGGAACAGTTGTGTGGCCAATTCAAAATTGAACCTTTGGCAAGAAGCATACCGAAAATACTGATTAGTGAAAATTACTTTATACCATTCGGCGCTTTTAGATCCGACCGCAGGAGTTGTGCAACTTTATTTGAACTTTGAACTATGCTAATCCCACCTCTGCCTCTACAAAATTGAGCTCTGGGCAACGTTACCTGTCGCCTCCTCACCCACTCGCTGTCTCTCTCTACTTGATCTTTCTGTAACTTGTAATGCATGTCCCGTGTTCTATGAGTTGTAATCTTAATTTACGCAAACGCATCCTTGAAATATCGATCAAATTGCAAGTTTGAAAAGAGTTCTCTTCCTCTACGAGCAGAACAAAAAGAAAAAGGATTGGCTTCCTCCCCAAAAAAACTCACAATCCCCCCTCCTTTCTCTCTGTATTATTTCTTTTTAGTTGAATTTTCTTTAGTCTTAAGTCAAGCTATGTAGCCCTCAACTTTTGTAGTCATCTTAGCAGCGTACGTTCGATCTCACTGTCTGGTTTTATTTAGACGAGCATGTCCAAAATTCAGACCAAGAAATTGGGGTGCGAATAAGACGCCCCGCATTTATAGAACCTTAACCACTAACCAAATCGTTTTCCTTTAACATTTCCAAACTGAACCAACCGAAATTATATGCGGCCCGCTTCGAAAACAAATTGGTAATCAAAAGTATTTCCATTTATTTATTATTTAACCCCCCTTATTACCGACCCTTTATCTGGCTTTAGTTCAAAATTCTTTGTTAGTTATGATTTGACTTATTATTTTATTTATTATTAACATTGAATTGGTATTAAAAAGAATCGTTTTACCTTCCCATCCACCATTTAGCTCGATAATCACGAAATAAAACCCGGCAAGTGTCTGAAAATAAATATAAGCGTACCGAATCTGCGCCTTTTCGTAGGCAATATTCCCAAGTCAAAGGGCAAAGATGAAATATTAGAGGAATTTGGTAAACTTACAGGTAAATTGACAACAACAACAAAAAACAACAAATTAACCAAAAACAAATTTATTTTAAATTATAATAACTGGAGTTGCATTTGGGAAACGAAAGAGGGGCAACTTCAAAATCGGCTTTAAAGTGAAAACAAAAATCCAATTGGCTGAACTGAGACTGAAATTGGCTGATTGCAGAAGCGAAAAGTAGATTTTAGGTAGCTTAGGGCATTGAGTTTAATTTTATTTAATTTAGTTACATTTATTTTTGTTTCAAACTCATTCTAACTACTCACCCCCACCCGCAAAAACCATCCAACCATCCGCCATTGCCATCTCTCCAAAACTCGAAAATATTGAAAATATGGAAAAGTGCCCCCGAGACACTCTTTTCAAATGCGCGCGCTCTCTCTCTCGCTCCACGACAGAAACTGAATCACAGACACATCGTCGGATGCATTCCTCAGTTTTATCATATAAATATACATATTATGTTGCCTCATATAGCACTCAAACACACAAACACACACACCGCCACATACAACCCGCAGTCTCATTGCCATTCGTTACAAGCTTGAATTGTCCTATAAGAGTATTTCTTTTCAACTTATTTACATAATATCTCCAGTCATTAACTTTGCCTACGAAAAAAGAACCGAAGAAAAAGTATTGAAATTTTTAAATTTTTTACCAAATTGTTATGATGCATTCCAAGACTTTGTTTTTTACCTTATGTGTTCCGTTTTCTCTTTAATAATAATCACACCGTAGGAAAGCAGGCTCTGAAAAACGAAATTATATAAATATCAAGTATACGCCGTGTGCCAGCTGAAAAGTCAGTGCAAATGAAAAACTACTAAAAGGTAAGATCGAGTCGCACTTGACCTTCCAGCTGCACAGAGCCAAAAAAGAGTCCTCCCTGTCTTTTCTTTTAAGTTCTAAATAACTATTACGCATAGTAAGTACTAGTATATCGGTAGACAACGAATAATCCACAGCAAGCCAACTGGATATTAGCTAAAGAACATCCTTATTTTTGAGTAAATTCATTCTTTATTTGGCACGCATTCAAAATATAAAAGGTTACTAAAGTTTAGATATAATAGAACTCCACACTCTTCTCCCACACATGAGAATTACTATCACACACCGAACACCCATACTGCTCCACCACAAACCACGAACCACAAACCCGAAACCAAATCAATCCAAAATCAAATCGCAGTACCAATGAACTACAAATTTTTCATAGCAAATCAAAATTTTCTTTTGTTTTGTGTGAACTTTTAAACAATTGCAGCTAAATGATTTTGAAATTCGGAAAGGCAAAAAGATTGGTGTTACGATATCATTTAACAATCACCGGCTATTTGTCGGCAATATACCTAAGAATAGAGATCGCGACGAATTAATTGAGGAATTTTCAAAACATGCACGTAAGTGATCCAAAACCAAAACCAAAAACCAAAACCAACAGCAACAGCAACCACAAACAAAGCAAAAGACCCCGAAAAAAGAACCCCTAGACCCCCGAAACCAGCCCACCAGCACCACCAACCCCGATTGGCTGACAGAATTGGTTGACCCCGATTATTATCGTACTTGTACTTAATATCCCGAAAAGGTTTTTAGGGGCGATACTTGCAGAATTGAAAAGCGCATGGAAGTCGAACGAAATGAAGTATCAATTGGATTTTTGTTTTGCAATTTTCGCTTTTAAATGCTAAAACCCCGAATCGAAAAATGAAAAATTCAACACTCCAAAACTCCCCGCAAAATTAAACTACATTCCAACAAGAGGCCGGAATAAAGGACACAGCTTCACCTCCCATCGAAGCTCTGTCCTTTGGCCAATTGTTGCATTTTACCCCTCTCTCTGTCATCTCTTTCTCTCTCTCTATCTATTTCTATCTCACTCATTCTCTGTAGCGTTAAGCGCTGTTAGTAAATACAACAAAAAATTAATTGTTCTTTAAGTTCCTTTGGTTGACTCGAATTATTAAATGTGCCCAATTTGTTGACATTGAAAACCCGTAGCTAAACAATTCGCTAAACTAAAACGTTTTGAATATTTTTGAAAAATAATAAAGAAAAACAAAAGACTAATCAAGGGATAAGCCTAGTTTTTGTTTTAGTGCAGACCTATATACATATATCCTTTTTGAAGACAATATCATATACACATAAATATAGATAACAAACGGCGCACACAAACCAACCCGAATCAAACCGATATGAAAGCGATCCCGCCCCTAAAACCAACCAATATGAAACAGCAATTCGTCCACTCAAATCGATATGTTTCGGCCCATTCACGTTGAATATATATGAATGAAAAATTCACTTACTTAATGACTGGAGACTACAAGCCTTAAATGACTCATTTAATCTAACTCTCTCTGTATCTATCTCTCACATAAGCGCTACTTCCCCGAGCAATTGATGCAAACGAATCGACGAGAAACTAAGCCAAATTCAAAATCTTATCCATCTTTCGTTACGTTGTTACGTTGTTATTGTTCTCTATCTCTATCTCTCTATCTACCGATCTCTCTTGTATCTCAGTGTACACACGTTCTCTTCTATCCGATATATAATCTGTCTATAACTCTGGCTATGTTTGTGTATAGTTTTCCCGTTATCGTTTCCATTACTCTCTCCAAACGAACAAGAAATCCAAGCTCAATGTGTGCTCTACTCCGTGTTGTGTTTTCGGTTACATTTTATTTCCTCTTTTTATTGCAACATGTACTATAATATACTATATCCAAACAATCAAAAACAAAACAATAGCAAAAGCAACAGCCACAGCCACAGAGGTTTTTAAGTGTCTTTCTAAATGTGTGTTTCATTTTACAAATACTCTCTATACGTACTACATATCCAACTTAATGTTATACCCCGCTCTCTCTCTCTATCTGTAATAACTGTCTCTAAATCTCGAACCAATCGAAAATGTTATTAGCTTAGCGCATTCAACTATTCAAAAATATGTCAAAAAGTTAAGCAAGCGGCAATTGTTGGCATTGGTTTTCGAAATCATCTAATTCGCTCTATATATATGCAACGAACGTACTATCAAGAGATTCAGATCACGGAAATATTAATTATTTTACATAACAAACGTCCCGGAGAGGCACAGTTTGTCGTGTAAAATTTTGCGCCTTTCCGTCTAAATATATATTGCAATATTCCATCTACAAGTATATTTATAGGCACTCGCCCCGAGTGCGTCTCTCAGTGTCTTATCACCTGTACTGTACCTGTACTTTCAAACATACTCGCACACACACCTGCCAAAAACCAATACCAGTACCAGTACCAGTACCAGTACAGATACAAATACTTTTTTGTTGTATTTCTTTCGTTTCGAACTTTACATATGCAACCAACTAATCATAATGCATTTGAACTGATAACACCTCGCAAATTTATTGTACTCAAATGACAATTTTCTTTATTTATAAATAAACCTGATCCCGAATCCGAACCTATAGCTGGCCTTTACGAGGTAATCATATACAGTTCGCCAGATGATAAGAAAAAGAACCGCGGCTTCTGCTTTCTCGAATACGAGTCGCACAAGGCGGCATCTTTGGCCAAACGAAGACTTGGCACTGGTAGAATTAAGGTGAGTCTTGTCTTTAAATATAGAGATATGTATACCTAATGACTATATATGTTAATTTTCCTGGCAGGTTTGGGGATGTGATATAATAGTCGACTGGGCCGATCCACAGGAGGAGCCGGATGAACAAACTATGTCCAAGGTTAAAGTTCTTTATGTGCGAAATCTAACTCAGGACGTCTCCGAGGATAAGTTGAAGGTAAAGTGTGAGCTGCACAGGAGTCCTTACTGGTAATGATTTCATAATAATTAACATCAACAGGAGCAATTTGAGCAATATGGAAAGGTGGAACGCGTTAAGAAAATTAAAGACTATGCCTTTATACACTTTGAGGATCGTGATAGCGCCGTCGATGCTATGCGTGGCCTTAATGGCAAGGAGATCGGCGCCTCGAATATTGAGGTGGGTAATACTCTCTAGGAAATATTTGCTTGTTATTGAATATTTTCCCTTAATTTCCCTAGGTCTCTCTCGCCAAACCCCCCTCGGACAAGAAGAAAAAGGAGGAGATTCTGCGGGCCCGTGAGCGCCGTATGATGCAAATGATGCAAGCGCGTCCCGGGATCGTGGGGTATGTATTTCCGACCCCTTCTCCACCCACTTCTAAACACTTGCCTAGCACAGAAACATCAATAACTTATCGGCGCTAAATTCTAAAAGAACAAAATAAAAAAACAAAACACATGCATTCAATGCATTCCACATTGGGCACTCTTAGTTCTCGGCTAAAACCAAATTCAAACTGTTTGCTTTCCAAGTCGCCACCTAATCAATTTATTCTTAACTTAACTTATTATTATTATTTTCATTTTTCTTTCTTTGCCAATTGCCAAATGCCCGCCACGCGAATTGATTTCGCCACAAAAACCAAAAAAACCAAACACCAAACACACAAATACCGTAACCGTAACCGTAACCGAAACCGAATACCGAACCGCAAAAACCATAAACCAATAATTCAATCAAATGCCATCTCTGTGTGGGATTACCTTGTAAAGATTCGAAACCTTGTCTCCATACAGAAATCTGTCGCCGACACATGCCAGCATGATGTCCCTGACGCCCATGCGCCTGCAAGGGGCGCGCATGCCGCTGCGTACGCCGATACCTCGCGACTACGGTAAGTTTGGCAAATTCGCCAAGTGAATATCCGTCAGATACGATTCTTAGATGTCTGTATGTATGTATGTATATGCATAGCCATCGGCAGCGGGCCGGTGGCAATGCCGATGAGAGTATAGTGGGGGGCCCACAGGCGGCGCCTCCTCCTTTGGGACCGATTGAGATTTAAAAAAAAAAAAGAAAATACTTAATAACTTTTGTTAATTTGGTTTAGTTCTCGTAGTCAGTTAGCCAAGTTGTTAGGCACACTCGCCACCCATACACACGTAAACACCACACACTCGCCCACACTAACACACACACACACACACAGTACTGGCTAGGTTTCTGTGTTTAGTTTTAGTTCGATTTCTAACCGAAGCAGCCAGCCGCAGCAGCAGCAGCCAAAGTATCCCAACTAACCCCAAGCAGATTTAGCCTAACACTAAGCCTTAAGTTAAACCGATATCATGTCTGTGCCATCGAACGCAACGTTTTGTTAGCTCCCTCTGTTCATCTAGATTATTGTTTAACCCTCGCCTCATTTTGGTTAATTAGTCAACAGGTCGTCCATGTACTACGTAATCCAAGGCCTATGTAATCAGTAGTTTTGCGAAGGATTACCTGGTAAATGAACGGTCCGTTAGGTTAATAGAAAGCGCCCGCTATACACACTAACACCTGTATTATCATACACCCCCCACACAACAAACAAACACACACACACACACACCCCATGTCCCAAGGTCACGCCTAGCACTGCCCTTCGAGCCCCAGTCGAGTATGAAAGAGTATCCAGCTAGATCGAGATGATTAACCCCCTAACTAACCAATATTGGCAATCAATTGAAGTAACCCCACACAGAAGCACCACCGATTATTTCTCTTACTTTTCTCGTCGCTCTAATCGTAAATGTTGATGCTTTTTTACTTTCCTTCTTTCTTTTCGATACTCGCATTTGCAAGATTATGTGTCAATGCTCGTACTTATCTTCCACTCTTGTCCTTATCGTTTGGTTAATTTGCATGTGTCAGTGATTATTTCCTTATCGATGTCGTCCTGTTTTCCTTTCGTTTCTTTCCCATTACCCTTTACCTTCGACTTTCTCTCTCTCTCTGTCTCTATCTTTGTCTCTGTAAGACCCCTCCAAACCGATATACGACCAGAACCACAACATATCCAAGCCATAACCAAAGCATAGACATTAGACATTAAACCTTAACGTTGTCCATAGCTGTTTATGATTATTAAATGTTGCAATTGTGTTCTCTGTGTAGCGAATGTTAAGCACCCTGTATACTGTTTGATGTTATATCACCGGTAAGTAACCCCAAGTCTCATCTACTTAAGCCACCTACTGCTGGTGCGTGTGTGTACCAGTGACTACCAACATCCAATACCAAACACCCATCCCCATCCCGTCCCCCCGGTACGCGACCAATTCGTTAAACATTGGCAAAGTGAAACAATTGGCAGCACCAGTCATCAGAGATCAAGCAGGGAGCTTAGGGGTCTATGTAGGTCTAGGTCCATTCAGTAGCCAAACTTCAACCTAATCCTAATCCTAATCCCGAACATCCCCCTCTGTAGACTATGATTACGATTATTTTGGTTTCTCGGACTTCCGGCCCGGCACCTATGCCAATGATCCGTACTATGACGAGCTGTACCGCTCCTACGATGGGGACTACAGCTTCTATGAGTACTCAAGCCCCTCGGGACTTGGCGGAGCTGGTAACGGTGGCGGCGGCGGCGTCGGAGGTGGAGGAGGAGGAGTCTCCGGATCGATAATGCCGCTGTCGGGTGGCGCCACCCAGAATGCATCGCTGTCCCGGGGTCAGCGATCGGCCAGGGGCTTAGCAAGTGGTTCCAGTGGCTCGCCGGGCTCCGTTATGGTGCGTTGCAACTCCAGCGAAACGAACTCGTTAGACTCACTCGCATCGGGAAACAATTCGAAGAACCAGATACAGAACACAAAGAACGCACACAGAAACACTAGTTTTGTAGAATTTGAGTTGATTTATTTCTTATTTAGAAACTCCCTCGGTTGATTCATTGATTGCCTTTCCGCCCCGACCGAACTGTAGTTGATTTTGTATGCCAGCTTTATTATTATTTGGCTTTAATTTCCCAAAATTATATTCTCTCTGTTTCGTTTATGAAGTCAAAATTTGCACGTATATTGCCGCCAAATTCCACCACACACCCACTCACCCACACCACCCACAAACGAACAAAAAAGAAGGAAAACCAATGCTTATGCTCATGCCACGCCCACACACCCACACGAACGCGGATTATTTGTTGCTTGTCCCGCACTGTTTTGCTTTAACCACACGGACATCCCATAAATTAAGGACTCCATCCGCCACGCAATCGCCGCAATCCAATCGAAAAATTAACACATTGTGCTTTATTATGCTTAACTTATGCTTCGCTTGTACGTATGCCCCGCCACCTGCTTATTTATTTATAATTTTAATTGCACAGTCCATCGCCAGGCTGGAGGAACAACCATTAATAGTTTATTTATGAGCTGAACACGGCGTGCTGACGTTTTAATTTTAATTAAATTTTAGCAATTAAGTGAAGCGCTTTCAATCACGACGCGTCGCTTTATTTTAGTATATATATTAACCGAGTATTTATTTCGTATATCGCAAACGCTTTAATGTTCAAACATATTAACCGCATACGCTTATTGTAATCCCCCTTAGTTACGTTTTAAAAACAAATCTACAACAAACATGGTAAAGTTATTCTTTTCATTCAAACCAACATATATTGTGTCAATCGCAAGAGGCAAAACTTTTGTTGCTTGGACCTCCGAACGTTCCAAGCGCCCAGATCCGTTGTTATATAACTTATAAGTATATTATAAAACCCAATTGACTAGTTGAATCTGCTCACTCAGTTAACACTTGATACAGAGAACAGTATATATACATTTAGTAATTTCTATATGAATAATACATACTTTTTTATATGCATACATTATTACATCTCGTGTATGTACAATCAAACAACAGTTTTACACCAAGAATCTAACGCGTTTATTTCGATTTTTTTCTTTTCTTTTCTTTCTTTTTATGTGTTCTTGTTATATACTTATCTATATATACAAACAATTCATTTGTTTTTCGGTACTACCAATATGACAAAAAAAAACAACAAATCTTGAAAAATTATATATATGTTCGTCAAAACTAAATCCAAAAAAATGACCACACTAAAATTACAAATTCTATCTACGCCACCAACCTGAATCAAAATCAAAATCTAAAAACAAAAATCCACCACCAACCAAATGACCAAAATCTATCGTTAACCTTTCGATTCAAAAACCAAAAAAAAATATGAAAAACCAAACCGCTATTCCGACCCCCCTTTTTCGAAAAACAAAACCAAATTCGAAATTCGCAACGATTCGCCATTCCAAATTCCAAAATCAATTCAAAAACGTTTTTAATTTGCTTACCTTTCGTTCAATTCGAAATTTGAAATGACCAAAAATTTGACACCTATCTTGGCGATCCATATATATACAAACACATTTAATTATGTATAAATGCTAATGTTATTGTAAAACGCAATTCGAACCAAAAATCTCAATCTGAAATCTCAACTGAAACTGAAACTGATCAAAAACGAAATCGAAACGCAAAACCAACGACCGATGGATAAACCCTAATGATGGATAACGGAACCGAATCTGGAAATGCAAAACACACACACGCTCTCGAATCACACACACACCCCCGACTCACACACCACACACGAACCGTAAACACACCACACACACACTCAACACACCACCTTCACAAACGCAACTAATGCATGCAAAATGATGATGATGATGATGACGATGACGACGACTACCTTGATGGTGTTGAATCGATAACGATAACACGATATCCGGTTTGCGGATGCGGATGTGGATGTGAATGCGGATGTGCTTATGCCGATGCCGGCGGTGTGATGTGATGTGATGCGATGCGATGCGTTGCCATGTGATGATCATGATCGCGACAACCTACGATCGCGTAGGGAGTTGGTCGTGGGCCTGGAATCACAGTGCCGCGTGGCAGAGCCGTTGGCCAGCGTGGCAGCATCAGTCGTCTGGGGGCCCAAACAGTGCCACAGGCGGCGGCAGCGGCGGCGGCGGGACAGGCGGCGGCGGCGGCAGTAGCTCAGCGGGGGGCCACCGGTCAGGGGGCGCCGGCAGCAACCGGGGGGGTCCGTGGGGTGGTGCCAATGCGTCCCAGCGCTCGTGGCACCCAGCACGTCAAGCCGCTACAAAATTTACCAGGTGAGCTCAACAAACACAAGAAAAACGTATCAATAATACACCACAACCACTACAACCAATCAACAAAAAGCAACCAATCAAACTCAAACTCAAACACAAAATCGACCTCGAAATTCAAACCAAAAACCAAATCGAATCAAAACGAAACCCTCCAACAACCTGCGCCAACTGAAAAACTGCATAAACAAAACCAACAAACTGCAACCAACTTGAGAAAAACATGGCGAATGTCGAATTCATATAAATTAATAAGTAAAGCCAAGTAAAATGTAAACATGCCACACCCACAGCCACACCTACACCCCTTGACACACACAAACACACACCATACACCACGCACACACACCACACACCAACAAAAAGAACCGAGCCTAACGAGAGATTTTGTTAGTGTGTGAATAATCCCCCAAGAACGAAAGAAAAACCCCTCCCCAAACCCCCCAAGAAGGTCACTTAAATGTCGTGTGTCTCGCATTTGTAAATGTTCTAAATGTTGTAACGTTTTGCCCTACTCCTTGGTTCCATGTTCTCTCTTTTGTTCGCCTAATACTTTTCATTGTTCTTTCTTATTCAATAATCGTGTATATTTCTTCTTAAATATTTTTTGTCAAGTCATAGTAGTTGTGTGCACTTGCTGCTTACGATTGGGATTCTTCATTTTTCGTTCGTTTCCTTGTGCCACCGCGCTGAGATGTATGCTACGATTTTTGATGCATGCCTTTGCTTTTCTTTTTTCGTCCGACTGTAAGCAGCAACTGGCACTGGCCACGCCCACATACACCCACCAGAACACACACCACCCACACACACAACCGCCGCCTATGTATTTATATGGAGAGCCATTATAACAAATTGTGTAACTGTGTCTCTACACACATATTGCCTTGGATATGTGCCTAACTATATACGAGAGCAAAGTCTGTAAACGTTTATGAATCGATTAGTATTTATGTCCCTGTTACCCTGTCCCCTCCACCATACACATCACCCACTAACTAAGCGCCCTGGAAGAGTCAAAGGGTTACGTGGGAGGGCTCCGATCAATCTCTCCCCCCCTAAATGAAAATAGTGCCATCCAAAATTTTGACGTACGTGTATATAATTTTTTACGTTCGTTTGTTTTTCTCTTAAATCCCGCGCCGACTTATGATAATATACTTATAAAGAGAGAACGAAACGCGCTGCAAGATTGACCGGATCAGAGATCGATTGCGATTGCGATTGCACAAGTCCTAATATATAAACCCTTATTTACATATTAATTATACTCTAGCCCATTAATTTAACAATATACATGCATATAATATTCTGTGTGAACTATGTATATCGAGTGTGAGTTCATCGATCATGCTTTGCGGAGCCGAAAATAGTTTAGTAGCCTCTACACACAAACACACACACACACACACACACACACAAGAAACATGTATGCCCATATGACCCCATATATAATACTATGTATAATATAACCGCCCTTTAACATTTTTCTTACATATCATATTCACACTCACACACACAGGGTGACCACCGATACCAAATGAGATCGTTTCTTATTTATTTTTTACGTATAAACAAATACTAATCGATTCGTGTATTATGTTTACAACACGCACAAACACCAACCAACCAACCAACCAACCAACCAGTTATCTTATAATTTGTTGTCAATGGAATCCACACTTGTTTATACATTTAAATATATAGCGGAGAGCCCCCGATAACCCACCCGGAGCGCGGCACACCTGCTCCAAGTCATCCCCCTACCCAAACACCGCTTCCATTTTGAACACGCTTTACATTTTTGTGGCTGTATTTCGTAGATCATTTTGTCTTCGCGGATGATAAATTTCTTTTCGTTTATGCTTCACACACTCACCACACTCACTAAGCAGCTGAAACATTTTACAGACAAGCGCAAAGCGATATAATCCTTTTATCCGAAATGGAAACCAAACACAATCCCTTTCTAGCTGGAACTGCACTCAAGACTTTTATGGAGGGCAACTAAGCGTAGCGCGTCGATCACCTCCACGGACAGCGACCAGGGTCGCCGTCCGGTCAAGAAACGTAAAGCCCACAAGTCTGAAAAAAGCAAAAGCAAGTCACACAAGTCCAAGAAGCATTCCCGCAAACACAAGTCACCGCGACCCGAAAAAGAACAAAAATCTAAATGGGATTCCCCCTGAATGCAAGAAACCAAACTTAAAACCCAATTCAAAATTCATAAACCGGACCGAACGCCCGAACCCAGACGTTTTGGCGCTCCTTTCTGTCCCATGAACACAACAAAGAACCACATCGACCGGCCGGGGTCACCACCTCACACTCACTGTCTACTCACTCGGCCGTAGGTCACAATCCACCTGTTCCCCGTGAACATACACTTTTCAAAATCGAATTGAAACAATAAACTCGTCATTGGCGGCACTCGAGAGTACACACTCAAGAACACATCACACTTTACATTGCATGATCATATCAGATCAGATCAGTTCAACCCAATGGACGGACGAGCCACCCCCTCTAATTCAAAATTTCAAATTGGGAGAGCCAGCGCCCACACCCAAGCGAATATTTCAAGAAACCACCCCAGTTCAAGACACTCGAGTACAGCGCTCTATTACTTTTCGACCTGGCGATCCAATTACGGCCTTGTCCCGACTATCGCCACCACCCATCACTATCATCAAGTGTTCCATGTTTCATGTTAGGCGATAATATCATGTACAATGTTTTACTCACCCGATGAATGTTCGGTAATTGTAACCCATAACACACCTCACCATCACCACGAATATATGTGCACATTGTAAACCCACAACACACAGCGCCAACACTTAGATATATTTGTACATGTATCAGTCCCGAGTCCCAACATTATGTCGAGTTACACTTCCCGAGTTGTGATGTGCCGAACCAATGATGAGATAAATTAAATGAACAAAAAAAAAAAACGAAATGTAAAATGTGTTGTCTTTGATATTCTTGGATATACGTACCTAAACGCGCACGCTCTCCCCCTCATTAGCAAAGCGATACCAAAATGGACAAAACCATCAAATTGTGCTACTAAAACGACTAATACAACGTCAAGAAATCCCCATTCGAACCATAGACCAGTTGAAAAAATAAAAAGAATACCAATCCAAGAAAAATAATAGCAACAACATTGAACCATTATTGTATTAACAATATTTTTAACTCTCTTTCTCTTTTTTTTCTTTCGAAAAACACCTTCAACCTCCCACACAAACACGACCACGCACACCACAATCACCAACAACTCCACAACCAACAACAAACAACAACCAATCCGACCCTCGACCTGGCCGATACCACCCACCAACCTGCAGTAGTCGGTAAACGTAAGTTCGATGGAGGTCACCAAAATCCGGCAGATGTTAAGCGACGTTACCCGAGCGGTTTGATAGGAAATGGCGGCAGTTGGGGCAGTTTACCGCTACCACAGCAACCTTTAGGCACCAATGGTGAACAGTGGTACATGGATACGTTTTCGGCATGGAGTTAAAACCACACACAGCAGCAGCAAGAGCAACAGCAACAGCAACATCAACAACATCAGCAACAACCACAACCCAATTGAAATCAGTTAAAAGAATCATTACGAACCACATCGCATGGAGGTCGGCAACCACGAGTTGCGGCCACCTTCTCCGAGCCACATCCTGGAGAAGATCCATTCGCAACCACACTATTACAAGCAATACATTTAGTTTCAACAAAAGCAAAAACATATATATAAAGTGTAAGGAATACGATTAGCAGCAATTCAGAAAGCATCGTTTAGGGATTCGTTTCGAACTTCATTTGCTATGCGAAATATCCATAATAGCAGGTCAATAGGTCGAGTAGAGAGTATATGTATTGTATATGTAATCACGTAAACAAATAGCCTTTGCAGCAACAGCATTTTAAACGCAAATTCTTCATTTAGAGTCTAGCCGATTTTGCCCAAACAACATTTTAAAGAAAGCCTCACAACGTAGATAAACCAAAGTCAAATCGTTTTAAAAGTTCACAAAACAAAAAAGTATAAAGAAATTTGTCTCATAGCGTTTTTAACTTGAAATTGAAACAATAATTGAGCATATAGCAAACCTATATTAAAACTAAAAGCATACAAATATATTTATCTATAACTATATAGAGAGAGCAGTCTAAGCCCGTACAGATTGATTTTAAATCTTAAGCAGCATGTAGCACCTTTTATACATTGAAAAGAAAACAAAAACGAAAAACACGAAACAATTCAGATTCGATTCGACGTAAACACATTTTACAATATGTACTTGCAAGGGCATCCATCTTCTACTGTATATAAGCAATGACAAGCTGGCGAATCGCTGAAGCAACAAGACATATACAGACGAGAGATCAGGCTCAGAGATGAATTAATGTTTAGCAATCTTAACAACACCAAGAAACGAGAGAACACAATTCAAATTGAAAAGCAAAGCTTAATGAGGAAACATTGACTGACAAAGATAACAAAAGTTAAAATTAATAATTAGATTGAATGAATTGAAGTGAGAAGGAATAAGGAAATACAAAAATTAAAAGCGCCGCCCAGCATTATCATATAATGTCTGGCGGCGGCAACTGGCAAGACTTTCTGCATACATTTGAAAACGAACTATTTTTTAACAAGCGTAAGTTTTAGGCAACTCCAAATCAATTATCTGTCAGAAGTAAAAGTAAAATACAAAAATATGTAGAGCTAAGTAATTGCACACTCACACTCACACTCAAGCTAATACTGATAAGCTGAAAAATCGCAAGTCAACACGAAACTCGGATGGGCAGGTGCCTGTCCGCGAAATGAAGCAACGAATTAGAGAGTCAGGAAGAGGACACTGACGAGCGGAGACCACACATCACAAACAGTAAACAGTAACTAATAATACAATTGAATATTATAAATTTTAATACCGTAATGCATACTTAATATTAACACGTACGATGCAGAAATCGAGACCGCGAGGAGAACTAGACAAACTATGAAATCAATTAGCCAGCGCTCAAGTGCGATTTAGCAGCGAACCTAAATAACTCAACTATGAAATTCTATTTAAAGTCCAGCTATCCAATATCAAGTTCAGATAGTCTCTTCCCACTTTCCTTTACTCATCATCTACAACTGCTACGCACAGAAGTAATACGGAAGGAGATCCAACAGCCGTACGCTAGGATAATAACATAACCCAGATAATACAGATACTATATCAGAAGCCGACTTGCAAACACTAACTAACTCCATGCCTATAAAGAGAAGAACAACGCCACACACACGTGTCAAAGTACGATTATAGGGAAATCAATGAAAAACAAACAAACAAACAATGAAACTTGCCTTTCTTTAATTCTATAATTTTGCAAAATTTCGAGATAACAACAACAAATCGTGTTTGGTTGAACAAAATTCTGTCGTTTAAGTTTCCGCTATTGCAAGATCTCAAGTAAAGCAAAAAAAAAGTTAATTAATATATATAAATGTATAAAAACGAAAAGAAACAAAAACAAAACAAAAAACAAAAAATATATAAATTAGTTTTAAACTAACGAAAGAATACTTCCAATTTTGAACTCAAGTATAAAGCAAAATACAAACTGTTGGCAGTAGTTGATGAAGGACGCGTGTGTTTTAAAACGTATCTATGAACATTGTTCAGCATAAGCCTAAAAACAATAACGTTTTTTTAAATTTAAAAGTACACATACACAGACATACACAAAAACACACACACACACCAAGCAGTTGCCTAAAGTAATGAAATTTAACGATAAAAAAGAAAAACATGAATTAAACCTTGCGCAAAATTTGCAAACCAGCAAAGAACTTTAAATACATAATATTAGCCACAAACAATAAGAGAATATATACAACAAATTCTAAATGACCATAGTTAAGCTTAAATTTAGTAACACTCAACACACACACACACACACACAAACAGAACACACATATATACACATAATTATAAAAGTAAAGTAAACTGTCGTTGTAGAGGAAGAGAAGTGTGCGCCATTTTCTAACTACAATAACAAAAAAGAGAAAGAACATTACTAAAATATTTACCAATTTTTTTGTATTTTTGATAAGTTTCCCCATGAATTTTTCCTTAAATATTTGACTTTTTCACGCAATTGAAAGGGAGAAATACTCTTAAACCTTTATTCATTTTATAATTTTTTTTTCTTTAAACACACACAAACACAACAAATTAATTAATTTGATAAGGAAGTGAATTATAACAAATTCTTTAACGCCGCGTCTTTTTGCATGCAAAATTTTCGATTTTTCGCCTTAGAAATTTCCACGTTTGGTGACTTAAAACCTTTGAACCCAATTCAAAAATTGCAAATATATAAATATAATTAATTTTAACGACTTGTTTAATTCGATAACTGTACTGATTTTATATTGTTTTAAATTTGTAATTTAATTTGTAAGTTTTAATTGTTAATGTGTTTTTTCTATTGTAAACTAAAACTAAACTAAATCTATACACTAATTGGCAAATTGTTACACAAAATCCGTTAAAGTTGTCCGATTTCGTCGTCGATACAAAAAAAAAAATTGAGCAATTGAAATTATTACAAAATTATGTGCCGTTATATTTCGAAAGCATTTCTTTGGAAGCCCCAAATAGTCCTGCATCCTTGAAACCTAAGCCCCGAACCCAAACCTTAACCCCAACCCCCAGCCCCCCTAATTGTGTTAAATATTGTAATTTGTAATTTTTGTTTTAATTTTTTCGGGAAAGCAAAAACGTTTGGCAAAATTAGTTTTTAATTTGAATATTTAGTTTTGTTTGTGCGCTTAAGTTTTCAATAGTGTGTTATATATATATATTAAACTATGAATATTAATTTTTAGCAAAATATTTTTACGACCTAACATAAAGCACTAATGTTAAATACTTAACGAACTAATTTGTTTAGCTGTTTAATTGGTTTACAATCTTTGTGTATTTGTGAAGAGGAGCAGAGCAGAGCAAGGAGCGCAAGCAAAATTTATCTACGATCTAACAACAATAACTGTATACGTGTGTAAAATTCAAGGAACTCTCAAATTTAACAAAAGCAAAGCAACACAACAATGAAAACAAAATAGAAATAGAAATAAAAAAAAAACCAAGTCGAAAAGTATCATGAAAGAAAAGTAAGCAAGGTGGACAACAAAATTGCAACTTGCGCATGGAAACTGAGCGAAAAAAATGAAAAACTTTACATGAATTGTGATGATGCAAAGGCAAGATTTAATCATAATTACTAAATCTATATATACAATAAATATATATATCTTTCTCTATAAATATATATATTGAGTATATAATGTATATGTAGGCGTAGGAGTGTATAATCTAACTTTACTTTTAAACAGACTGCGTACGTATTAAAAATTTTTAAAATTAATTTGTGTAAAATGTTTTAAGTTTTTGAAAAATTGGCAAATAAAGAAAACAATAAAAATTAATAAATCAAAAACCACGATCGCATTGTAAATTGAAATATACGAAATATTTCGACCTATTCCAAATTATCTTTCCAAACCTTTTCAGCTATCAAAATCTTATTTTGTGTATATTTCAAGACAAGAATCGGCAAAAAACCAAGCGCAGCGCAACTGTTTATAAAGAAAGAGAGGACAGTGGCAGTGACAGTGGATGAAAGGATCTGAATCGCATTGGAATGCTTCCACGATTGCTTATTTTAATTCAATTAAAAAACATGATTTGTATGAGGACAATATTCAATGTTTCACGCATACACACACGCGTTAGGCTTAGATTCGCTTAGACCACTTTTTGCTTTAATTTAATTAAATTTATAGTTTGTGTGTGTTTTTCCTTTGCTCTTTTATTACATACATATATATAATAATTTGTTTTTAACGATTGACCCCTTAAAATCTTTTATAAACTCTACCTATTGATAAACATCACAACACATTTGCATACATTCATACCACACGTGAATGGAAGGGATTCGTGAACCGTGAACGTAACGTCGCCAATTATTACGAAATAAAAACAACAAACAAATGGAAATTAATAATAAAAACAATCAGAATTCATCGTAGAAGAAGGCCGAACGAATGTGAGAGATTGGGAGAACAACTTTTACGTCTTAATAAACAATTATTGTTAACGAAGAAAATAAAACGTGAGAAAAGTGAAGAAGCATATTGTACTAAAATATTTGATATACATACATTTGTTATTATTTGTAATACGAAAATTAAATAAAATTGCATCCAGATAATAAAAAATGAAATAAATAAAGAATGCCAAATCATCTTCTGCTCAATCCTAGATTAAAGCTTAAGTGTTCCCGTATAGAGTAAACTTTTGCTCTCTACCAGCGGACCAAAAAACTATCGCAAAATGTTTGAAAGTGCACTTAGAAGTGATAGAAATCCGTGAGCGTTGTCTAAAGTCTCGCTAGATCTTGTCAATCGGATTCAGAAAAGAGCGTAAGTGAAGAAAAGCGAGCGACACATATACCATCCTTTCTTTATTTTGTTTGCGTTAAATATATACAAATTGCCTCGCCAAAGATATCATCAAAGGTTCGCAAAGGATCTGATTTCAAGCTATCGCAGACGATATTTTGGTTCACTAAGATTCGCGGGACTTGACCCCTCCCATGTGATATCCGAGATATACCTATATACAGATATATTTATCCTTCAGTACTGCGCACTAGTTGGTAGGTAGCTGGTGATATTAGTAGTTTTAACGAACTACCACTACCTACTTCATTAACCCTAAATAATTTAAATGTTCATTTCCTTATTAGTATGAAATGTCCGCTTTTGGGGACAACCGTCACCACATCGTTTTCCGCTCACTAGGGACAATGGTACCCTTGTAAAAGGTTGTACAGAGGTCCCCATGCTAGGGGTGGTACCCATTCTAGGGTGATGAAAAGGGTAAATACACGAGTACCCATACTAGGACTGGTGGTAAAGGTATCCATAATATGGGAGGTATTACACTGGATTATGTTGCCAAATTTAATCAGATTTCGGGCTAATCCGGGATTTGCTTTTTAAAGTCTAACTAGACCAGGAACACGATTTTTAACAATTCCAAAGACATGGAAAAAAATGTATTTTTCTCGTCCTTTCTGAGCTAAAAACATAAATTTAAAGAATTTTTTACTTAAATTAGGAATGTTTGGGATTATTTCGTTATTTTAATCCCTAATCAGGAATAATTGAACCAATTAAGTTAATAAATATTAAGATGGTTTATTATTATTATACGAAATCCATAGAAAATATTTCATACTGTCTTAAAATTTCAAATATTTTAGAAAGATTACTGTGGCGTTAACCTATCATAGAGTCAGTCATGTGGTAGGTGGCTCCTTGTTCGATTACTATAGGGTCAGTCAAGGGAGTACCCATGTACCCAGTGGTTCGACGTTCGATTACTAGAGGGTGAGAGGTGGTTCAACGTTCACTTACGTTAAGGTTAGTCAAGGGAGTACCAGACAGGTGGCTCGGTATTAGTATATTAAGGGGTTTTAAAGGATTTAACCATATACCAAGTTCGTCGTTCGTTTACCAAATGGGGAGGAGTACATCAACGTTCGATTACTATAGGGTCAGTGAAGGGGGAACCCATATTTTAGGTGGTTGAACGTTCGTTTACCAAAGGGTCAATCAAGGGACTACCCATGTACCCGGTGGTTCGACGTTCGCTTACCCTAGAGTCAGTTCCCATACACGAACTAGTTGGGTATCTAGTTTAGGCATTGTCAATCGACACCTTCAGTACTGTAGGGTTCATATATCTCATCAACAGCGAGTTCAAACTGCTCAACCCGTAATACCAAAATTATAGACTCGTTTTAGCTCCGAAAACTCATACCATACTACGACTTCACAGTAGTAGAATTTATTTATTTGTACCATTTAATTGAAAGCAAGTACATTTTTAAAAGCATTTACTGCGGGATGAAGAGGACTTACTGCTTCGCCGGCTGCCATCGCTTGGTCTTGTGCTGACACTTATGGCGGTGATGCCCATGTTGTCCCCCAGCACCGTCTCATCGACACTGGTATCATCTGCGGGTATTTCCTCATCGCTGTTTTCCTCGCCAACAAACGAACCGACTGGCGTGATGATTGAGTCACCGTGCAAGTCCCTGTTTATCATATTACCCATGTGGAAGGCCGAGTGGCAATTGTTGGCAGCCAGCAAGGCTTTCACGCGAAACACCAGCGTCTCGATCGTCTCCCTGAGCGCGGGAATGTAGCTGATGATGGCTGTATTTTTAATAAACTTTGAATGGCAGCAGAGTTGGTGCAGGAATCTGGTCACCTTCTGCAGCTCGTGCAGAAACTTTGTGAGCCGTTCGGGATCCTGCCGAACAATAGACTCCAGGGCTGACATTCCCTGCTGAAGCAGCAGCTTCAGAAATATTTGCGAGTGCTTTAGGAACAGGCCAAAATTTCTGGGTTGTTCAACAAGCTGAACAATTTTCAGCAGCCCATTTAGCAAGCCCACAGTGGACTCCCAGAGTTGCAGGTGGTCTCCTTTCTTGTCCACGCTGAGATGGGCACTAAGAGAGTGAATGAGCACCTCGCACAGTCCTCGAAACAGCAGTGGAAAGTTTGCTCTGAAAATGGAAGTTGTTAGGCAGTTAGAGTGCTACTAACACAGGCTATAGCTTACTTCTTGAAGTTCGGGAAGGAGTTCAGAGCCTTGTCCTTGGTATTAAGAATCGCACATTCTTCTACCAACTGGCCCAAAAGTTCACTCTGCTGTTCAGGTGTGGAGTTCTTGAAGAAGCCCTTGACCAGTTCGTCCAGATAGGTATTGCACTGCGCACCCTTATCCACAGTTCCAGAGTGATGAAACCATTTACGTCGCAGCAGCGTACCGCAAAGTGCGCCTGAAAAAATAATGTTACTTTGTAATTGGGGGGATATGGTATTTCATTTTTTGCCTAATTTTTAATAACCTTGAGGGTATAATACTTTTAGTCAGAAGTCAGAAGAAGAAGTGCCTCAAGGCACACCCTCTAGGTTTGAAATGCTTTGAAAAGTGGCTAGTTTGGCCCCCAATTAACCATATATTATATATATATTTATATCTAATTTTTCAAACTTACGCGAATGCTCGGCATGCTGAAAACTAGATTGGCTAATATCGAATCGGGCACTTGCCACCTTCAGCAGCCCGCCCAGCAATCTATGGAGTTGAACCGCTGTACTCAAGTTTAAAACGGACTTCTCATACTTTATAAAGTATTCAAATGTGACAGTGGCCAGGCGAGGAATACTTTTCTTCTTAAGCGCCGGCCACTGATCCTTGGAATGCAGCTGATACAGTGACTCTGGAAAGAGGTTTACTTATATTTTTTGGGGTATTTTGGGCCTTGTGCTCTCGCTTACTGTGCAACAACTCGGCTTGGGACTTGTCCACCCACTCGCCCCAGGCAAAGTAAAGGGCAAACAGGCGAATGCAGAGCCCAAAACAGGTTCGGATGTAGTTGAATTGCTCCTTGAACAGATCCAGATTGCTGTAGACATGGTTGACTTTCACCAGCTGCGCGTCAATGGCTTCCGCCAGGGTTCTGAGGTGATTGTTCACCTCGAGCAGACAGGGCAGTAGATCGCACATAAAATCCTGCGGCTTTGCCAGATGCAGCCTTAGGCTGTCCGTGTCCGAGGAGTCCTGTTGTCCGTTGACTGCAGCTTCGAGCTTAAGAACCATATCCTCCAGAAGAAACCGCAGCTCTAGCAGTCCCAAGAACTCGCCCACCTGCTCCTCCTCCAGCGGGTAGTTCAGAACGAACTTTTGCTCCACCAACAGCATAATGATGCCCACTTCCATGGGCCTGTACTTCTCTCGCGGCCCATACATCTGCTCAAAGTCTATCTTCGTTTTAATGGTCTTGCAGGGCCCCACCTTGATGGAGAAGTCTGTAATCGTGGTCTGATTACTCTCTGGTTCCACCGTCGAGGCGTTGGCCTTCGCCGCCGCCTTGGGCGCTCCTGGACGCTTCTGGACCTTGAGATTGGTTAGGAACTGGTAAGGCGGTGCCACGAAGTCCGTGGGCGCCCGAGCCAAGAGCGGCTTAATCCTCTGCTCAATACGTATCAGTTCGCCGAGCCTGGCTAGAACCCGACGTCGAGTGGCGGGATCTCGCTGCGCTGCGAACGCACTGATCGTCACCCGCATCCAGTTGACTGTGTGGAAATAGATGCTCAGAATGTCGTTCTGCTGCTCGTCGCCAAAGTTGTCAAAGATGGCCAGATAGTTGTCGTCCTCGAAGAAGGCGGGCAGCACTATGGCGCATCCAAGCAAGGCATTTATCTGCTCAAGGCTGTAATGGTGGCGATGGTTGTTCAGGGCCCTGACACAGTTGAAGAGCGGCGCCAACACATATATCGAATCGCAGGCCTTGGCCTTAGGCAACAGGACCAGTTTGGATATATTTATGCCAATGCTGAGGACCTCGGTGTCTGTGTGGACATTTGTGTCGTCCAACTCATTAATGTTCAGTTGATATTCCAGCCTGATGCCCCTTTAAGAGTTGGGTTTAAGGAGGTGTCTTGGCGGGTAAGATGTCTACTTACTTTACTGTCTCTGCCAGATCCTCGGTGACAAAGCTGTTTTGGAAGCGGAACGTTATCAACTCACAGGCCCAGGCAATGAATTGATGGTCTGGGCCACAGGTGGAGGTTCCGTCATGGCGCTGACTGAGAACCGTGGCCAGTTCTTCGTAGAAGAGGGCCAGGGACTCGGCGCTGTTCCCTATGGAAGCCTCGGTGCGAGCTATGCAGTGGGGAAATATGTATAAACCCATTGAATACTCTATGAAAAAGACCCCTAATTACTTATCAAATTGGCGGCCAGTTTGCCTCGTCCATCGGGCAGGGAGTCCACGTTTTCCACGTTCGTCAGGGAATCGTCAATCTCCACATCATCGGTCTGAATGCGAGCCAGGGCATCGATCAGCTGCACGCAGCCTATGATTCCCTGTTTCTTGATAGTGTCCGTGGAGTTGATCAGCTGCTTCTTCACCACCATATCGACCTGTTCCTGCAGCTGCAGGCAGCCCGTTAGCTTGGGATCCGGGAACGCCACATGGCAGAGCAGGTCCATGGCCACGCGAGTTTGCGTCAGAGTCAAGTCACTGATCCGGTCCAGCATAGGAATGAGGAGTGTGGCACAGTTTTGGACATCTTTGGCGCTCTTGCACTGCAGATCGCGAAGCAGCTCCAGTGCCATGGTTGTTAGGTGTGGCGATGATTTGTCGCAGGTGAGCTCGAGCAGCTTCTTTAGGATATTTTTCTGTATCGAGTTGAATATCTTGAAAAGTATACTGAAAACATACATTACAAACATTAAGAATACATCTAGAGAGTACTTATGGAATATACCTATACGAGGTCTTGGCAAAGTCGGACACAGTTCGGTTTTTCTCCCGCATAAAGTCGTGCAGGATGTGCATAAGTGTACTTATGTGCTGCTCCAGGATGTGCTTATAATGCAGTTTTACCTCCTCCAAAATGCTGACAGTAATGTGCTCCAGCTTGATACGGCGGCGTAGCTTATTATTGTGGAAAGTGGCACTAGAGGGTTAACTATACATATATAATAACCTATATATAACTATTTAACTTACAATATTTTCTATGTACAGGGAATTATCTTCGTTCACTTGTATGAGCAGCAGCAAAACAATCAACTCAAAGGAGCTGAAGTATTAAATAAGTCAATATCTGTGAATTGTTGTGTATTCTCGAAGCTTACGTGAATCCTTCTGCGGGCAAACTAGCAGCAGTCCTCTGCCATGTCTGATAAAATCTCTTGGATCGTATCAGGCCCAATTCCAGGAAGCCAAATAGCTCCAGCTGCGACTTTCGATCGTCTACTGGTGCCGAGCTATTGTCCCTATGAACGCTGTGACGCCAGTTGAAGATTTCTCGCAGTTTGATGACCAACTGATAAGGGGAAGAAGACATAGAGATTCTAAGTATTTGGGTTGCGGCAGTTGTCAGTCAGTCTTACATCGCGCACACTGTCGTCCGTGTCCATTTTCAAAATGTTGAGCATGAGCCTTATGAGATGCGCCAAGGTCTAGAGAAGATAGAGACTTTTAAAGGACATTCTTGTTCAGCTTGATCTATGCGGAAGCTACCTAAAGAGGTTCATAGAACAATGCTAAAAGCAAAAGAAAATATGCCTCTTTATTTTGACCATAGCTTAATAAGCTCAATTCCAGGAAATGGAAAGCCTTCATCTAAATGTTCTAATTAATAAAGTAATTTACCAAAAATTTACTTAAAACATTATTAAAATTTAACTTTAGGATGAAAACAATGTATGTTTAAATACGACACTTTACATTCACCTATTCTTTAGCCCTTAGCAATGTTCTCTTTAGGTAGCTTCTGCATTGATAAACTCTATATCCTTATCTGCTTACGGTATCCGGACAGTCGCCACTTGTGGCATACTCCAATATCCGCTGTCGCAGCTTCCCCTGAGTGCTTTCGGAAAGCGATAAATTGCTTAGGGTGTGCACCGTCGTCATGTGGAACAGGTCTTCAGTGCTCGAGTAATTAATGCTGACAGAGGATTAAGATTAAGTGATATTAATATTTAGGGCTTAAACATATTTTTTTATTTTTGCAGTTAAGGAACCTATGTATACTATATATATTTAAAAGCATATTTCGATATTCGAAGCTACATCACTGAGAAGAAATAATCCTTAGAGCACCTTACTCCTGCAATGATAACGACTTAAGGTGATGTAAGGTTAATTCGGTGCAAAACGGGCCATTTTTCAAATATTTGTTGTGAAGAAGCGGTTAAAGTTAACTTATTAAATAAAATACCATAAAATAACACCACATTTAAACAAATTTGTGTTAAATGAATTATCGGAAAATATTCAGAGCTATAGGAGTTATAGGGAACCTCCCGAGTCTCTTTCAAAAAAGTTGGTTTGCTGTGTACATTCCAACTATCCACAGAATCACGTGGGGTTTTTATTTTTAAATATTTTTTTCTGATTTTTCATCAAAATTTGAAGTTACAAAATTAAGTTACTTAGTAAAAAAAAATATATAAAAATTTAAAATTTAAAAAAGTCCGACCTGAGTACCTTTAGAATTAGTAAAATAAGTTATGTGCCAAATTTCAAAACGATTGGTTCAGCAGATTGTGTTCACAGACTTTTAAAAAGCCACTTTTGGGGAGAGCGCTTTCAACTTTGTGATACTTATATGATACATTGGACACCAAAAGACCTCCGTTCAATAACGCATAACTTCGTCAATTTTGCGAGAACTTTAACACAATATTCTTAACATATATATATATATATATTTAAAAAATTACGAAAAAAAAACAGTAAATACCCTTTTTTTCATTGTAGTACTTCTGTACCCTATATATAGAAAATTTAACAGTATTTCAAGTTTAAAATAATAGTTGTTAATAAAAATAGTTGACAAATACTTTATACTTTGCTTAGTAACTATTAAAAAATTCAAATTGCTAAGTCTTAAGGGCTCTTCAGCTAAATATTTAAAAAAAAATCCTAAAACGGCCGTCACATGGGTCAAGTCAACCCCCTTAAACCGCAGCAGCTTCCAATTGTTTCAACTCGAAATATCCTGGAATGGTTAGAATCTCAACGGTAGTTAAACTCACATGAGCAATTGAACAAATTCATCGTGCATACTGGCATCCAGTATCAACTCGGCACTGGCTATGATATCCAACTTGGCCGCATCCGTGACCCTGTTAAAAATGCCTTCGATGCGGCTGTAGATCTGCTCCTTGTGCGAGGCGGTCAGGTAGCGCAGCTGGGCCAGCATCAGCGGCAAAAGCGGCAGGGGAATGGCCGCCTTTCCGGTGAGTACGCGATCCGCGGTTGCCACCTCCTCGATCTTGTTCAGCAGCACCTCCACGCAGGGATCCCGCAGGAAGTCGATCATGAGGAAGTTCATGAAAATGCTGTTCTGCGACTGGTAGATCTGCTCCTCCCCAGAGGCGTCCACAGTGCACCCGGTGAGTAGCTTCTGCACCAGCTTCGACTGAGGTGCCATCGCCGCATTCAGGCCCGTCTTGAAGGTCTCCACCTTGTCCGTGTAGGACGAGGCGCTCATGAATATCTCGCGCAGCTTGGACACAATGGACACATGGTCGCAGGCCAGGATCAGGCTGTCGCCCTGGTCCAACTGGACACCGGCTCGTATCAAGACCAGTTCGAAGAAGTTGTTTGGCTGCCGGGAGAGACTCAGGATGTTCCGGCCGGTGGACTGGGTGCGACCTAGGGTGGCGGCTAGGATAACGCTGTGCTGCGAGAGGAAGCGCTGGGTGTGCTCCTGCGAGGCAGGTATGTTCTCCTCGCTCCCGCTGCCCGTGGACTCTGCCGAAACATCCGCGGTGGTGTCCGACTGGCGCTGTAAAACACACTTGAATCGCCTCTCAAAGCGGAAATTCCGAAGAGTCCACTTACGGGCACCTTGATGGTGGTGTTTTCGTCGATCGTGTTGAGCGCCTTCTGCGGGCGCTTCTTATACTTGCGATACATGGTGGAGAATCAATCAATTTCACAAGATACGAACAAATAAAAACAGAAAACAAAACAAATCTTCTGGCGCGCGGCAGTGTGACCGTGTGACCTTCCCGCTTTGTCCTTGTTGGTATTTTTCCCATTTTGGTATTTTGGCTTGGACGGTATTTAAAAGCCGCTGCTCTTTGGCGGAAATTCAAAAATTTTTATTCAAACGTACTCTACATATTGCGTATAAAACTATTATTGTTCCTAGGTAAAATTAACGGGTAATCATATGTGGTGAGTATGTGTGTGTGCTTAAATGTAGGAGTCGGAAGCATGTTCCATTAATTGTTAATCGTATATATGCAATGGAAAAGTCCAACGTAACGCTAAATACAATGATTATAAACTTATATTTAAATTTAAAGCCTTTCGATTTGAATTGTTTAACGTGGGTGCTATCTCTGATAATGTTCAAATGATTCCTAATATCGATTTTCAACTCTTAAAAGTGCAAAAACTCACTATTGTGCTATACATTTCTAAATGTATATATATGCATGTATATATGGTTCATAAAAAGGAAGTATATGTATGTCTTGAAGTGATTATGCCAGAAATTGACTTATTTTCGTAACTAGTTCATAGAAAATCACTAATTTGGCGTTGTTTTCAGTATTGCTATAAGGTATAATGATGAACTTGATGCCATTGCTATCACACCAATGCAGTCCAAAGCGGAAAATTTTCGATTCCTTCACAATACTGTGCTCCTGGAAACTCTTCCCTAAAGTCCCGCTCAAACATTACATTATTGTTTTTTCGCCCGACGCCTTTTAAAGCCCGTCATCTGCTTCAGAAGCTGCGAATTTTCGTCATCGAGATCCATGTTTGGCTCCCAGAGCCGCAGTCGTTTGGGTATATAGATTAGGCCCAAGAGAGTTATAGCTAGTTAAAAGTTTAAATTAAATTCTTATTTATAAAAATAAATATCCGTAAGTATGTACTCACTGTTCAGCACACAAGGGAAGATCACGTAGAAGTTGATGGTGCTGGAGCGAAAGTAGAGTGCCTCGGTGGCGTAGAAGACCATGGTAAGGGCCAAAGAGCAGCCGCCCATGCTTACCACCCTATCATTAAGGAGCAAAAACATTATTTTTTAAAAATTTCCCAACTATTTATAAAAAACTAGACCCTTGGGAAATACTTACGGCCTATAGTGGATGTAGAGGGTGCAGTGGACCAGCGCGATGGCCTTGAGCAGGCAGTACATGCCAATTATGCGCGATATTGTGTAGTCACCTGTAAAAATACCCATTATATAGGTCATAGATTTTACTTTTGGCAAAAGAACTCACCTTCTATGAACTGAGTATCGCTGTGATCACCCAGAAAGCTGCGTCTTTCGATATAGCTACGGAACGCCGTGCCCAGATCCATGAAAGCCACGAAGGCAATCCATCCCCGAAAGGCGTAGAGCAGGCGTTCGCGGGGTCTTCCGCCGGACTGCATGGCAGCCCTTAAAGGAAACCAAGAATAAATAGATAGGCATTTGGTTTATATATGGTCTCATCTAATCTGAGACGAAATCAGGGTTCCCGACCATGTTAAGCCCGATACTCTCGTTACAAAATATTGCATACCCAAAAGGCGCAACCATAAGAGCTAAAGTTTTCTAAACACGGAATAGAAGCACTTGGTTTTCATGAATTATCAAGAACTAATAGCCTTTATACACTTCAGAAACGTATAAACATCACGTTATTTAACACACATAACTAGCCCTCCCCAAATTCTTGTAATGTACCTAACATTATGATTAAGATTAAGTTATTTTGATATGCAAACACCATTTGGATTGTCATCGCACCTTCGCGTGTGCATAATTAGGCGCTTTATAATGAGGGCCTTCGGGAATGGCAGGAATTTCAACTGAACAACCGAGTAGTGGCATGTCCAGCCGGCTTATCGACCTCTCGGAATCGCACTCTGAAGTCCCCGGACAACCACCCCTTTCCGCCCAGCACGGCGAACCCGCCCCCAAAAGCTTGGCAAAATCGATATTATGGCACATAATATATGCCTGGCCCGTTTGTTGTTTGTGCAGCGGCAAATATTTGTGTGCAAAGCGTAATTCCCGGCTGCACGCGACCACGTGGATCGGGCACAGAGTTCGTGGAGCTCGGAGCTCCCCACCCAGCCGGGTTGTTTATTTTCAATCAACACCGCCGGCTGGCTGGGTCGCCGTCGCCCGAGCAACGCGATTTGGCCCCGGGACCGGCTAGCAGCCGATCCATAATTATTCCCGTGCACTCTACAACGCTCTGTATGTGGGTACATGTTTATTTTTGCGACCATTTTCTTACATTTTGCAGCGATTACCGAGCAACTCAGCCAACTATAATTCCGGCACACGCGGCGTATGCGTAATATACTCGAATGCGGCACTCTTTAATCGCAAGAAACCTTTTTTTTTAATGCTGCAGCGATTGTTTATTTTATTTTGGTTTTCATTTATCAAAGCCGAAACAATTTTCGCACCGTCGGCTGCAACGCCTCGCCGTCCACTGAATGGGAAAGTTCCGTGCGCCAGCGGCAAGCTTTTATGCTTTTTTGGAGCTTTACGCCTCCGTTGGGGTTCGTATCGCACAGGGGATACCTGGAGAACTTGGTCTAGAATCTAGACGAAGCGTTCAAGGGTAGATTGCAAAGTTTTTAAAGTGTATTACTAACTATTATAAATTGTTTTAAAATTATAAGCTATGAAAAGGTCAACTTTTATGTATTAAAAAATCAAATTGATAACTTTTAACCCGAGATTACACCGACTAGGACCTCGAGTCATAAAAATAACAAAAATATATATAATTATAATTAATAATATAAAGAGAAATTAAAGACTGCGTTTAAAACCAGCTCACATAGATTTCAGTATATTTTATTTAGCAAAAGTACAAAAGTTAAAACAATTTTGAAACGCTAACGATGCATATCAAGTTCTAAGGCTGTCGGTATATAGAAATCAAACCAGCTTTCGTTCGTTTCCATAAGCAAAGGTTAAAAAGATCAACAATTGTCAGGTTGTATGGCTCTCCTAGGCTGAAAGTTGGTCTAGTCCTTGCCAATGTTCGCCTCAGTCTTGCGGTACTCGGCCCAGTCCACAAATCCGTCATTGTTCAGATCCATGGACTTTAGCACATAGTCAATGGTGTCCTCCAGTGCCTTGTCGGTGTAAACGGAACCGGATTTGTGCTCCTCCTCGGGATGGCCATCGGCCTGTCCGTCTGCGTGGCCCTCGGCCGGTTTCTCGCTACTATCTTTGACTGGAAAGGTAATGGGAGGTTACAGACATGGCAGTGTTGGTCCCCTTGAGTCGATGGTTAGGACAAGCTCACCCGAAACCATTTGTTAATGTCTAAGTCTACTTTCTACTTGGTACGCGGAACTAGAAGTTCTTGGCTGTAATTTGGATTTGACTTTATTAGCTATATAGGTTTCAGTTTCAAAAAGATTTCCACTTGGTAGGGCCTTCTTCGATTTATTTTATCGCGTAGTTTTATTTTCTCTTGTTTTTTTTTTTTTTTTGTACAAAACAAACCTTTACACAATCAGTCTGTTGTTGTTGCTGCTCTCAAGTCGGGCTTAGAAATTAGTTCATATCGCGAAATAACTAAAGTAATGAAACATGGAAAACAAAAACGAGAGAAAGCAGTTGAAATTGCACAAACCGCTCGTGAGATTCGCGTTCAGTATTCGAAATGGGAATCTTTGAGAAAGTTATTGGAAGAAGGGCAATAAGTTACAATTTGTTCAGGGTGGTTCTCCGATTGGAATGCTTGCAGCATGGTAAGTAAAATTGATTCGAATGTAATTCTAGTAAAGTGAAACTACGTAATTTCATGACGTTTTGCCGGAGTATGTGTAGCACGTCACAATCACGGGACGAGGACATGTTATGGATGCCAAAACTGAACGGATCTATGTGGGTGACGACGACTACTAATGAATCGGCTGCTGGGGCTGCTGCTGCTGCGGCTGTTGTTGCTGCTGCTGCTGCTGCTTCTCGGCGGCCTTTTGCTGCGCCTTGATGAACTCCGGATAGTCGATGTACCCGTCACGCGAGGTGTCGTCCATCTGCAGGATGGGATCGATGAGGGCCACTAGCTCCTCGTCGGAGAAAACCTTCTCCTCTACATGCGGCTTCTCGCCATTCGGCTGCTCCTTGCTGCCTTGCTCTGCACGGCAATGAGTTGTTATGGCGGATGCGTAATGGATTAGCATGAGATTCGAGCATGACCACAACCATAACCGGAAACAGCCCCGTTTAGTTTACGCATATGCAAAAGAGGTAGAACAGAACAGTGGGTCAAACAAAACGAAAACAGAAACCATAGACGCAAATCTATCTACACGCAAGCCCGAGAAGGAGGTGGTGGCAAACTTACCGTGCCAATGGATCAGCGACTTGATCAGCTCGCAGCCGTCCAGCTTGTTGTTGTTGTCCGAGTCGTGCATCTTGAAGTAGTGAAACTGCAGCTCCGCCTCGGACATCTTGCTGGTATCGATGGGCACCTGCATGTGCTCCTGGATGTGACTGTAAATAGATGAGAACGTAATAAGTGCAGGCAGGAATACGGTTTTTAAGTGCTTAAAATGTACCTTAAGGGGTTCAAATTTAAGTTTAAGACTATTTTCTATATAAATGCCAATACATTTGCGTAAAAGTATGAAATAATCATAGTTAAAATCATATCCGAGATCTTGTTAAATGAATTGCAACTTCCTATAATGAAAGTGGGAAAAACTTGGTTGAAGTCGCTACAATAACCTAGAGAGCTGTCAGTTTGGCTAATTTATGACGTCCCCCAATTAGAACTAGAGCTCCCTTAATACGAGCTGTCATCAGTGATTAGATAGGCCGGCACTTACGCGCGCTCCTGCTGGATGTTGCCCGTGTTCAAGACCTGCTGCGGCTGGCCATGGTGATGGCCACCCGCCGGCTGCTGGTGATGCACTTGCTGCGGCTGCTGATGGTGCACTTGTTGCGGCTGCTGGTGGATTGGCTGCTGCTGTTGCTGTTGCTGCTGCACAGGAACTTGCTGATACTGGACCGGCGGCTGCTGCTGCTGCTGGTGCTGCACGGGCACCTGCTCATATTGCTGTGAAGGGTAAAAAGTTAATTCATGTCCCTGGACTCAGCAATGAACATTCCACTCACATACTGCTGGGGCGGCACACCGGGTGCCGAGTGGACCTGTTGCTGATACTGCGGCTGCTGGTGAGGCGACGGCGGCGGCGGATGATGCTGTGGCACCTGCTGCGGCACTTGCTGCTAAAAGAGTCGGGGCAATGGATTACTTAGCGATGGGCCCGCGGCTGGCAGCTGGATCGAACTCTCGTCATACTCACATAGTGCTGCGGATTGACGCCGGGCGCGACGCGCTGGCCGGCGGCGAGGCCCACCAGAGTCAGGAGGAGGGGCAGCAGCAGAACTGCTGGCTGGTCCGGGACGCGCATCTGCATGGAAGTGCTGGATTCTAGCGGGGATCGGATCGGGTTCGGTGGCGCCTGTAATCACCACGTCGCTAACTCAAAACACACACGTACACAAATCGCAGCTTCTTAACCTTTGACCATTCGCAGCGGGCGACAGCTGTTATGCAGGTAACAACGACATTCGCCCCGAGCTTAGAGCTTGGAAACTATCGATTGTACTATCGAGGTATCGAATATTACCTTTTTTTAGCCATCGATGTATCGATGAGTCGATTACAGAATCGATTTTACTTCCAGCTCTAATATATCTTCCTCTTTCTTTTTTTAAAACGCAAACCGTCTGGTTCAGCGCTGCTCAAAATACAAAGATTTGAATATCTCGACCAGAGAAATTGCTAAATATGGTAAGGAATCTGGCGCTGCACCCGCTCGGATGGTTGGGAATGTCCGAAAGCGCAATTTCTCCGCGAAAAAACGGTGCACGTGGGACTCGTTGAACATAACCTAACTCCGAACATGTTTTCCTACACGTCCACAGGCTGCTGCACCCAAGGATATTGAGAAGCCCCATGGCGGCGATTCTGCCTCTGTGCACCGCATCCGCATCACCCTGACCTCCAGGAACGTGCGCTCGCTGGAGAATGTGTGCCGCGACCTGATCAACGGTGCCAAGAACCAGAACCTGCGCGTCAAGGTAAGGAGTGCCTCCATCCAGCGAGGCAACATCCGCATTTACCTGGAGGTTTTGCGTGCCCCCAGACGCTTAGCCTAGTCATTAATAAATGCTAGAGAGAATGCCTGAATTGGACATTATTTTCGCACTGATTGCTCCAGGGCGAAAATAACACATGGTTCAGGCGACAACACCTCGCAACACTGCAAGATTTGCCGCTAATCGCATCTTTTCCAACCATTTCAGGGCCCCGTGCGCATGCCGACCAAGACCCTGCGCATCACCACCCGTAAGACTCCTTGCGGTGAGGGTTCCAAGACCTGGGATCGCTTCCAGGTGCGTGCCCCCACATTTTATATATATATATGTATATTGTCCCGCCGATGGACAGATCTGATATCGTGGTTAGGCACACCGTCTGCCTTTCCACAGTATCTGTATGGTCCGCCCAGAAAAAACGTGTTCTCATAGTCCACTTTGTTGGTATTCCTCACAATTTGGCTCTCCGAATTCGACAATCCCATTGAAAACCACTTGGGTTCCATCCCTCCCTGGCTGTTGACTAATCACACGTTTACTTTCAGATGAGGATCCACAAGCGCATCATCGACTTGCACTCTCCCTCCGAGATCGTCAAGAAGATCACCTCGATCAACATCGAGCCCGGCGTAGAGGTTGAGGTCACCATCGCCAACTAAGATCGGCAGATGCTACTTTTTTACACCTCGAAGAGATTGGCGTGCGAAATAAAACCCAACTACTTTTCTTAAACACATTTGTCTGGCTTTACTGCGATTGTTTGTTGTGCGAAATCATATTTGGGGTGCAAAGTTCGCTGGAATGTTTTAAAATAAGATGTAACCCGGATCTAATAGTAGTCTGGAACTGGGGCGCAAGCAATCTTCACAAAGTCGGCATACCGCACGGTGCTGTTGTTGTTCACGTTAGCCTCCCGGAAAATGTTGTCCACCTCGCGCATGGACAGGCCCTCGCCCCAGTTCTGGAGGAGATTGCGCAGCTGCCGGGCGGATATGGTGCCCTTGTTCTGGGGATCGGCTGCCTTGAAGGCGGCTATCACCTCGTCCGGCAGACTCTCCACCTTGGAGTGGATGTGCATGATTTCCAGAAAGTCGGCAAAGCTCATTTTGCCGTTCTTCTGCTTCAGGTACGAAACCAGTTCTTGGATGGTCGGCGACAGTCCCAGAGAACGCATAATAACCTGAATGACGAAACGATCAGTATGGGTTGTTTCTTTCAGTGGAGGAGGGGGGGCGGGTGATACCACTCACCGTTAGTTCGTCCAAGTTGTTTATTTGGCCCGAACGGGCGAACAGATAAAAGCACTCGCGGAACTCTAAATGCCAGATAAGAAATACTTTGAGAATGAACTCATCAATGACTGGTGGCCAAACTTACCATCAATGTCCTGTTCTTTGAAGTAACGGGCCTATAAGAATGACCAATAGAAAGTTGCGTAAAAAGAAATGGTTAATGAGGGCAGCCAAGTGGAAAGTGCATTCGTAATACAAGAACACCCAGGTTTCTGGAATATCTAGGCAGTTCAGCTATTTTTTCACTATATCTCACCATTTCGAATTACTTTTTATTGCACTTTAACGGAAAACAAGGAATAAATAAAGTAAACAAGAGAAAATAAATAAACTAAACGAAAAACTCAAACAGGTAGCTGATCAGTGTGACCAGATGTGTGAAATCTAGAAAGGTTTATACCTTTAGGTGCAGGTAATTTCGATAGAACTGACCGATAACCCGAAGTAAACCGCTGCTATCGGCTCGATAACCACTTCCTCGGCTATAAAATTTGAATCGGAAATAAAACGCCTCGCATGTTAAGACTTTAAAATGTATTTACCTTGCGACACAATTACACAAGTCAGAGCACACTGTTGTATTTAAATATTAAAACAACATCATTTAGTTATTGTACAATAAAAAATATCTGCTTCCCTTCGCATACAAAATTTGAAACTGCACCTGATGATCTTAAAAACTAAGTACGTCCTCATCAAACAAGAAGTATAGTATATATATATGCGTGCGAGCCCTAAAGGCAACGCTCAAAAATGATTTTGTGAACATCAAAACTAAGAATTAAAACTTAAAGAAGCAATAAGCTAATAATTTGTGTCCAAATGTTGTAGATAGTCGAAATATTAGTTGTATTGTGGGGTTAGGTCTTTAGTTGTGGTTGGATAGTTAAGCGCCGTCTAGCAGACCAGAGTCTCCTAATGGTCTAATGGGCTTTAAAGCGTTTCCGTCTCATATACACACACAGTCGTAGGCATAAGTACGTCGGCACACTGTCGGTTTAGCTAATGAACGTTGATGATGGACTCGCGCCCCTTGCCCACACCCACCCAGCGCACGGGCACGCTCAGCTCGCTCTCCAGGAACCGGACGTAGTTCTGTGCGTTCTCAGGCAGCTCCTTGAAGTTGCGCACATCCTCGGTGGACGTTTGCCAGCCTGGCAGCACGGCATACTCCACCTCGATGCCGCCAAGCTCGGCAATGGTGCCCGGGAAATGGTCGAGCTTCTCGCCATTTGGCTTCTTGTAGCTTACAGCGACCTTTATCTCCGGCAACGTGTCCAGAATATCCAGCTTGGTGATGCAGATGCACGTGTAGCCGTTGACAAGCGAGGTGTACTTCAGCAGCGGGATGTCTAGCCAGCCGCAGCGGCGCTTGCGCTTCGTGGTGACGCCGATCTCAAAGCCTCGTGTCTGCAGAAGTTCACCGATTTCCTGGAAATCAACGAAGGGATTATAAAATCGTCCTTAGGGCTTGTGCCAAACTAGCGCTCACATTCAACTGTTCGGTGGGGAAGGGACCATCGCCCACTCGCGTCGTGTAGGCCTTGACCACACCGATAACCTCGCCAATCGTTTGCGGGGGCAGACCCAAGCCGGTAAGAACACCGCCAATGCTGCAGTTGCTGCTCGTCACATACGGGTACGTGCCGAAGTCAATGTCCAGCATGGCCGCGTTGGCGCCCTCCACCAGGATCGTCTTGCCGTTTCGCAGGGCGGTGTGCAAGAAGCAGATGGTGTCCTTGACATAGGGACGCACCTTCTCAGCGTAGTCCTTGTACCGGGCCAGCTCCGCCTCCACGTCCACGTTAATCGATGGGAACAGGCGCACGTGCGTGGCCACAATCGACTTGAACCTAAAGTGTTAGGAAGAAATAGGTTAACCTCTGAACTCTACGATTCAAATGAGCAGTCCTTACTTGTCGCTAAACAGGTTAAAGTCGCCGAGCAGCTCGCCCACACGGATGCCGTTGCGCGTAGCCTTGCTGGAGTAGGCCGGACCAATGCCCTTCTTGGTGGTGCCCAGCGACTTGCCGCCCTTCTCCGCTTCCTGCATGCCATCGACATGCTGGTGGAAGTCAAACACCAGGTGGGCACGGTCCGAGATGATCAGCCGGTTCTCCAGATGCTGCAGCCCCTTGGCTTCGTTCTTAAGCACCTCGTCGAACAACGAGGGCAGGTGGATGACGACGCCGTTTCCTAGAAAATGTCAAGCAATCACTTGTAGTCTTTGTGCTCAATCTGTGGGATTTCCCCATATTTGCCGGGGCCGTGATTTAAATGAGTAATAAATAAGCAACACTGCAGACTGCAGTTGGCAGCCATGTGATTGCATCTGCAGTAATCTGACTTGGTAATTATATTGTCTCACGCTCCGAAATTTCGTTGTGACACTTTCAGCTATACATATTCTTCACTGTCAAACTTAAATAGTTTTTTCTATAATAGCTGACGTGCAGGGTACACTTCTGATGCATGAAAATGTTTATCACTAAAGAGACCATATCGGATAAAACAGGCATCAACAGAGGAGTTGATCTAGCCGTGTTTATCTCCATCGCAAAAGAAGTCTCTCAGCTTAGGAAACTGTGGTTGGTTGTTATGACTGTCAATATATGTATATACGTTTATATATAACTGTCCCAACAGAAAACGTATATATAGTGTAAACTTTATCAATAAAGATAGTTGAGCAATAAACCAAAACCCAACCAGCAATCTGAAATAAGAAATTACTAAAAGATAATAGGTTTAAACAATGGAAACTTATTTCCAGCTCTACGTCCTCCCACTTTCTACACGTGTAATTATTGTGTTGTACTTCGTGGCTAATCACTTCGCTTTATAATTTAATATCCGGACTTTCCAAGAAGTCCCGAAGAGCCAGCAATACTTAGTGTTACGTGTGACATTTATAAGACCTCCTTTTAACATTAAGAAGCTTTAAAGCCTACCTATAACAGGGACTCATGTTCGTTTTTGTTGCATAATAAGTAGACAAGCCAAGTTGACGATACGATGAGTCCATGGAAGCAATTTCGAAATCATAATGCCGAGGCACGCGAGCCGGCTCAACGGACAGGGTCGTTTGAATTGAGCTCAAAACGGGAGGGAAATTAAAAATAATAAGTTAATTGCCTGATTAGAATAATTTTCCACCACATACGAGTGTGTCGTCTGTGTCATAAACGATATCTAAACGGCAAAGGGGTTGCCTGTGTGTTGGTGCGGTTCTGATTATCTCACAAATTAGTCTTGTGACAAACGATGACAGTGCGGATACGGTTGTTGCTGTTGGCAAACAATGTCGCCCACAACCCCATTATTTGCAACATCGATTAAACTTTCAAGCCGCAGTGGAGAGCAGGACAAAGTTGCGATAATATTGACAACAACGATGACCTTGGACGGTGACAGCTGGTGACGTCACTGGGGTACTGGTAATAAGTATTTTCCCACACCCTTCTCTCTGACTCTGATTTAATTATCACAATTGCTTATCTACAGAAATAGAAAACCTTTCATTTTCATGGGCATGCGGCGCATCAAAGTCGAAAAACAGACCAACTGACCCGCAAGCCAATGTCAATGATGCACTAAATCTTGCCAGAAATTCCTCCCATACATTTGTCTATATTCTATATACTACATAGTCCATACATACATGCATATATCGGGGGTGTGGGTATATTATGTGGCATATATATACTTGCTCGATACGTTCAATTTCAGTTTGCCGCAGAGCGAGTGAAAACTAAAAGCAAAACAAACCGACAACACACCGTATATTTACGACCTATACTGTATGCGAAAAATTCGTTTTCTGCTTATATTTAAAATTGAAATAAGGAAAAACAAGAGTGGTATGGCGTGGGGGAAAACAATCGCTTGCTTACTTTCATTGAAAACTTCTTTTTCTCTTGATTTCTTGCTAACTCTTGACTCTTGACTTTCACACCTGTATCCTGGCCGATCCTGGCTATATATGAAGGTCCCCGATCCGGTCTCCTCTCGACTTACCAATCACGGAGACGCACTTCTCGTTCACGACGCCGCTGGGCAGGAGATGGAAGTCGAACTCCGTGCCATTGGCCACCACGGTGTGTCCAGCGTTATTGCCGCCCTGTGGAGGAAAAAAAACATATATCAGCCATACGATACGATTCCCAGATATACAAACTATATATGTATGTTGATACACAGAATTAGCATTGTTTGTTTTGCTTTTGGCGGCAAAGAAAAACAAAAGTTGTGTGTGAAAAATAAATAAATATTATAGAATGTAGTAGTATGTAAATTAAATAACACGGCCGACGGTACGGCGAGTTAGTGTGTGCCCCACGTGCCCACAAATATCGAATGACAATAAATGAAAGCGTTCCACACACACACAAGCACCGATAACACTACGTGTATCTCACGGATACGTAAGCACTCGAGATATTTAATGTGTTTTCCTTTTCATTTTGGCAACTGTACAAGTTTTCTACGTTCTGCTAATCTAACTCAAAATGTGTCTTCTTTATTAATATTTAATATATACTGTAAAGCATCTACAACAAAATGATTAGCGAAAAAGAAGAGTGAAAATTCTGGAACCTTCACAAATCATTGCTAAAAACCAAAAACAAGATAATCAAAATGTTTACGCCGTGCCAAGGAGAGAGCTTATAGCACGGGTCTCCGATAAGATACGGGGAAATGGCGAGATCGCGATCGCAGTCGAGGTCCCGCTTCCAGTTCCCGTTCCCATCCGTGGCCTTTTGCGGCGCAGTATGCGGAATACTGCCGTAATCGGAATCGCCCCAAGAGGGGCGTGTCAGTCGTGTGACTCAGCTCCGGAGTGCGATAATCGAGCCTGGGTTTCCAGCGAATCTGTTATATAAGGTCCGCCCTGATAACAGCTCCCCGATTCTGCTGAACCACTATGATATGATGGATAGAGTGGTCTGCTGCTCCCTTTATGGCATATCGTGCATTGACCCGGAAAAGTGGTTATGGGTTCGACCTCAGGCGGAAATCAACAAGTGTCTGGTCACTATAAACAATCCACTGGCGACACGCAATTGCCGAATCCTCTGGATATGTATTCTGCATGCCCGGAATGGCGCGGATTCCGGCTGCCCTGAAGCCAAATATTCTGCACGGGTGCATATTCCCTCCCAATGATGTTGTGAATGATGTTGGCGGTTATGTAAACCTGGCGGTTCGCTGAGCAAGCACAACAGATGCGAGGAACAGAGACGGGGCAAGGAATTAACGTCAGCCGCGAGAGAGACAGCGTCTCGGAGCGGGAAAGAGACGGTTAGAACGAGTGACGAATTTCGCTGCGCCAGCAGACTTGCTGACGGAATAATAGAGCTGGTTCTGCCAATGATTGCAAAAAGTAGCTAGAGGAAATTCAAAAAAGGACATGGCGAAAACTTCAAGAGTATCCTTATGGGTACAGTAATTTGGTCGAAACTGCTTTCAAAATGATAACTTTTTTAAATTTAAATGGTTTAATATTTAACAAATTAGGGGTTGTATAAAAATACTCGAAATTAAATGTTGAGATTGCTGTCCAAGGTTTTATTATTTGATGAGTGATTGGAATTTCCGGTAATCAAAGGTTAAACAAATATTTTAATAATAAAATTAAATACTTTTACAAAGTACATAATAATTTAAGCCCTTTAAAATTCCGTTTTTTCTTTCTTAATTTTTATACGTGAGCCTACAGCTTTAGCCTTACATTTTTGAATACAAAATAGCTACAAAATGTGATGTTTTAAGCAACCTTTATAAATAAAAAGATTGAATGCAGTAGTTTAAGGACAACTTTTCAAGCCTCTTCTGTTGATTACAAAAAAAAAAAAAAACTTTTGAATTGACAAGCTAGTTCTTGACCACCGGAACAAGTCAGATTTGGCGTGAAAATGGTCGGAACGCCTACACTGAGGCATACACACCAACACATGCGAGGCGGGGCTGAGAATAAGAATGGAAGTGGGAGCGAGACGGCGGGCGGACTGGCGCACACATGCGCCGCTCGCACGAACACTTGGACAAACACGCTGACGGACGGACACACACACACACTGGCGCAGCCACATGGCGGGCGCAGAATTGATAAATACAAATGGGAAAGCATGCGGCGGCCGAAAAGAGCGATAATAGTTGGAAAAAAGTGGCTTCGCTTGTGAAATACCCAGATGCTGGGCGCCGGGGTCCGACTGTCTGGGATGTCCTTGGGCAAGGATAACGGCTGGTCCGTTATCAGTGCCTTGGTCAAACCTACTTTCAGCGTAACCCGATTACAGCATACAGCTATTGCTCACCTGACACCTGCAAACAATGTCCACCTCGGAGGCGAGCATGTCCACCACTTTGCCCTTGCCCTCGTCGCCCCACTGGGCGCCCAGGACAACGTCCACCTTCGACTTGTACATCTTGGTGCGGCCTTGGTGCAGCTGCTCGTAGTGGTTGCCGTTGGTGGCGGACATCTTCCCGGATCAGAATCGGAATTGGATCGGACACGGAACTCGGGAACTCGGATCGCGGATCTCGGCGCTTGACAGTCGTTCGCGAACACGTTGTGATTATTTCTGTTGGCTGTGTCGTTGGCTATAAAACAAACACACTTTGGTCAGTGGTGTCATTTCCGCTTTTTTCCGTTAGATTTGGCTTTTTTGTAAGATTACGGGTAATATTTTAAATCAACGGGTCGGCGAATTTTAGTTTATCAAATTTAAGAAGCTTTTTTAAGACAATCAGAGTAAAGGAGTCATTTCCGACCATATAGAGTGTATATATATTCTTGATCATCATCAACCGCCGAGTCGATATAGCCATGTTCTTCCCTTCGTTTCAAGGGAAAATTTTCCACGATTTAAAAATAATCTTTTTGAAATTTTACCAATCATTTCAGTCAAACTAAAACTAAACACAACCAAAGTCATGATATATACCTGAATTAAAAATGTCTTTAATATGACATTATTAAAATTATAGTTATTAATAAAAACAAAGACAAAATTTTTACATAAAGCTGCTCTAAATTAGTTTATTTAATTTATTTATTTTTTTGTGGATCGGCTTTTTTTGCCCAAAGAGAAATGACATCACTGACTGTGGGCTGGAGACGGTTAACGGGTCTACTGCGCGATGTATTTTCACCCGCCAGCGGCGAGGTAACACTGAGGCGCGATGCTTGTAGTTTACCGGCACCTGTTCTCTAAAATGTATAATTAAATTCAATGTTTCTCAGAAAGTTGAAGGTAGACATGTTCGATGACACCATAACTGGACAGACAAAGATATACAATGAAACAATTGAAAATAATACAAATTCAATATTTTCCCACGTTCGGATTACAGTCATACTGTGGCAATCAGCTGTTCTCTACCGCATTATTTTGTTTGTTTTGATTGACCATGTCTGAGGCCGAGGAAAAGTGTCATTTGTAGGTATTTATCTCTTATTAAAAAACATATAATATTGTTAAGTATTCTTGCAGCTGCCGGGAAGTGCCCTTCAAGTACACCTGCCCCAAGTGCAATGCCTTGTACTGCAGCGTTGGATGCTACAAGTCCAAGGAGCACCTAAAATGCTCAGAGGAATTCTACAAGTCCTGCATACAGGACGAACTGGCCGGGGCCGCGACAACGCCAGACAAGCAGGAAGATATGCGGAAGATCTACGACATTCTGAAGCGGATGCGGGAGACGGACGACGGTTTTAATCCCCAAGATTTCGACACAGATGGGGTGGAGAATCCCTTGGATTCAGATGAAGGCGAAGATCCGGAACAAGGAGATGCTGAGGATGAAGGCGAAGAGGATGGACTGGCAGGTGAAGAAACCCTTGAAGGGGAAATGGAGGAAGACATTGCAACCAGACTGAAAGGCATCGATATCAACGATGCCGATGAGGTTTGGAGCCGGCTGACGACGGAAGAACAAGAGGAATTTCAGAAACTAATCACCAACGGCGATATCATGAAACTCATGCCTGATTATAAGCCGTGGTGGAACAAGCCGAAGAACTCTAAGATTGTGGTCATTCCTTCGCCGGAGGAAGCTGCAAAGAAAGAGCGCTCCATGCCTGAGATATGTGCGAGTATAGCCAAGTTCTCGGACATTTGCAAGAAGGTACCGTCGCCCTGCCTACATTACAATTTGTGGAACATCCTCAGTGCCTACGCATGCGTGGCTCGTTTCTTTGGCGGCGAGCAGAGAACCAACGCAAGCGAAGCTGTGGCTCACCTGGTGAATCTCAGCGCCACCCTAAAGTATGGCACCAACTTCGAAGATGCTGAAGATGCCATCATATCCGTGGAGATGGAGGCAATAACTACTGGAAATGGACCGGCCGGAGCAGCAGCCGTGGGAAGCGCCGGAGCGGGCTCTAACTTCCTAGTCGAGAGCAGAGAGCAGCTGCAGCAGGATGCCCGCCAGCTGATGGCCATGAGGGAAAACAAGCTGGCTGCTCTGAGCGACGTTCTTCATCTGCTGCAGCAGACCAAGGCGATGAGCAAGCGTAAGAATCCTCAGGAGGCAGAGTTCCAAAAACTATTTGCCCTGGCCAGCGGCAGTGTGGAGTTGGACCGCACGAAACTGTCCCAGCTGGCCCGAAAGATAGAATTCATGCTGTCTTATGTGGCGCGGGAGGAGGTCCTGTGAGATTTCCGTCAATATAAATTTACATTTTTCAAAATCCAACCGTTTTTTTTTCACTCGTCTTCTTAATTGGGGTTCTCGAAGATGAAGCTTCAAGATGGAACCTCTCCAAGATGGAACTTTTTTCATATGTTGCCCTCCTTTGTGCGCAGTATTGTAAGTAATTCATTAATACACCGGAATGTTTTAAAATAGGTGTAGGAAATGATTTTTTGTAATAAAGTTTTCAATGGGTATTTTTGAATTATTGAAAATCATATGCTCCATGAGCTCTGTATCATTTTGTAATTGAAGCAACAAATTTATTTCATTTAGAGTGAGATTTAAACTGTTTTGTATTTTTGCAGAAACTTGTTTTTGAACAATTAAAAATTATTATTCAGTATTGAATATGTTTTTTCTTTAGAAAAAAGATTAAAATTGTTAATATAAATATAAAATTAATATTATAAATTAAACAAATTTACTATGTACTCGAAATACTATAGGAATCATAACTTTTATAGAAAGCAAACACACGTTGATTAGCCGAACAAGGGCTTATTTTTCCGACGGGACTACCTTGTACAATTGTATCATGACCGATTCTACCCCATTTCTACATTTGACACGGTTTATAACCGCTAAGCCAACTCTCATCTGGTAACACTATAATTACAATTTTTAGCTTTGGTAACTCTTAATTTAAAAATTGTAGTCTGGTAACACTCTTTTTTACGCTATTCTGTAGAGCTGTAAAAACATCGATAGTGCCCCTACTCGATGTTTTCGATAGTGATAGTCCAAACCATCGATATTTTCGATAGTATCAATCGAATTATTATTTAATTTTTTATTTTGTTATTTAAGGGTATTTGCTTTACATTTTTTAATTGCGAGGTATGAATACAGCTGTGACAAAAACCATATAATTTATTAAACTATTAAAAACACATAAAAACACAAAGGTTAAAAATTTAAAAGATTTTGACTAAAATAATAACTTATATACTTTTTTTTATTCATTAGTTAGAAAACTTAAAAATTCTCGTATGTCGTTATAAGCCATTATCGTTTGCTTTCTGATGCTAAAATCGAGAACATTAAAACTTATAATGAAATACCAAGCAATGAAATGACTAAATGAATGAATTTTATTTTTATTGATTATAATTATAAACGAAAACATGATTATAAATTAAAAACGCGATACATCGATGGTGGAAAAAAAAAATCGAGGTATCGCGCAGCCCAGCCACTATCGATAATATCGATAGTACCATCGATGTTTTTACAGCTCTACTATTCTGTTATTTGGTAGTTATTTGGTAGGTCGCCGTGCTTTCCCGAAAACTTGTACCTGTGTACACCGTGCAAAGGATTAAATACGTATGAACAATTATGCTGCAGCAGCAACAACAACTCGGAACGGACTAGAACATTTCATGCAAACGCGGTACGCGTTTGGGTGTAGCGGAATTTCGCCGTTGTGTGTGTGTGTGTGTGCTGCGAGCGAGTCTGTTTGTGTGCGTGTGTCGGTGTGCGTCTGGCAACAACAGAAATCCAATTCGTACGCTTCGCCTACTAAGTAAAAATTAGTTCAAACCGAGAGACAATTTAATCGCAAGCCCCCCATCCTTATGTAAGGTGCCTGGATAGCGATGCAAATATTTACGGAAAACGGGAACGAGAAGTTCAAGTTAAAGATAAACGAGTTTCGGTCTTGGATGGCGCAAGGGGGGCGGGGGAGGGGCAGGTGGCTGCCGCTTATCTCCCAAGTGTGCGACGTGTTAGCCCAGGAGTGTGCGTGTGTGCGAGTGTGTGTAGCATACATAGAGATGCTTGTGCCGTAAAGTTGCTTATCTATCTCCACAAATATGCGAAGTATGCGTCAACCTGTTTGTAAACTTTCTGTTGGCAATTTCTACTGGCAATTCGCAAAGAGCCGCGAAACCAAAGTAGTTATGACTGCAGCGGCTAAATTTATACCGATGAGAAAAAACCTGATGGCCAGTGAACACCGTAAGCGCATCGCACATCGATGACAACAAAGTGCTGACGCCCAAATCAAGCCAGCTTGAGGGGGATTCAAGACCCGTCATCAATCTCGGCGTGCGTGTGTGTGTCGCTGTGATTAAATTCCAGCCACCTATGTATACATTTATGTATAAAACCGGTCAATGTCTGCCTGATAACATAGCCGTTATACGGGCCAGAGATGCTGAAGTGTGTGTGCCGCCGCCAACGCCTGCATTGTTTACAAACAGCTGACGGACATGCAGGGAAACTCCTTCCCCGATAAGATACGAGTTTTCCCTCGAAACTGGTCTTCTAAATATAATATTAATACAACCCGATCGCATGCGGAATGTCGGGGCACCAGTGAGTCAGAATCGATATTTCTCAGCCATTATCAATGGGGGCAGGCGGCCGAAACCCCAAGGCAAAAACTACGGCAGCTGATTAAGACAAGAGAATGAAAAAGTTCCATTACAGTTCTACCTGTTGCATCAAGGCCCAGGAATTTCTTAATCGCAGCAAATTAGGCAAACAATCAATTTGCCAAGCGGTATACTATATTGTTTAACAAACGATTTGTTGGCTCGAGATAAACACTACGAAAATACAAGTTTGCGTATAAACAAAGAGCGTATTTGTTGTTGTTGCTGCTGCTGCTGTATAGGGAAGTTGTTTATGGCGGCAGAGTCTATTTACGTAACCGCGGTAGAAACTCATATTTTATGACTAGTGTGTGCGGCTTATGCCTCGCGAGTGTGTGATTTATTAATATCGATATTGGAACCCACAGGAAATGTCCCACCATAGCGATGATCAGCTCCTGCAGGCTGGAAGCGATTCCTTCTGGGAGCCCGGCAACTACAAACGCACCACCAAACGGATCGAAGATGGAAACAAGTGAGTGTTGACCTTAAAACAAGTAGCCACAGGGATATAAACAAAAATAAATATACATTTCCACTGCACAGAGAAAAAGGGGCCTTAACTCAAAATTTCGCTATCAAGTTTGTTCAATATTTTAATATTATTCTTTAAATATGTCCTATCTAGTTTATAAATATCATCAAAGGCTTATTATGTACTTTATATTGAAAGAAGAAGAAAGGAATCTAGAAACTACATATATCCATATTTAATATTACCTTTTAGTCACATTTTTCAAGTCATATAAAGTAAATTCCATTATGAATTACCTGAATACCTTAATCAAGATATATAATTATCATAACATTCGTTTTGTTTTTGTGAGACAGAAATTGGGCTTTCGTCATCATAATATAAAATTTATAGCTTTATTAGGGTTAAGCTAACAATGCTGATATGCTAAATGAGTATGACACAGATGAGAGTTATTTTGATATGATAGCTAGCTGGCATTAATGAGCCGCTTGGTGGTTTTTCTCTGTGCATAAGCACTTGGTCCCCTGGGTCATTGCCAGCGACAGCAGCAGGCAGAGTCACTCGGAAAGCAAAGCCAAACCGGTTCGCATTATTTTGATTTCTGTCTCTCGTCTCGCACGCAGACTCTGCAATGACCTACAGCAACTGATACAGGAGCGAGCCGACATCGAGAAGGGATATGCGAAAAGCTTGCGCGCCTGGTCAAAGAAATGGGGTGAACTCATTGAGAAAGGTAAGTGACAATAGTGCGGGGGATCCAGTGGTGGGAGGAGGCATGGGATAACTCCTCAGGTTACCTTGCTGCCATTTGTTTACGCACTCGTTCACGCCCCGCCAAAGCCAAGTAGTGACCCGCTGGCAGCAGAAACGTCGTCTCCAGCGGCACCGTCTGCGTCACGTTGTCTTCCCACCGCCTCTTCTTCTTTTTGGCCCACTGGCTGTTCTTATTCCGCCATACATTCTGTACATCATTCTGGGCATTGTTGTTGCCGTTGTGCGATAAGTGGCTTAAGCTATTAATGGCTTTTTTTTTTTTCGTTGTTACCTCGTTTTTGTCGGTTGTGGAGAACCAAAGCCCCGCACTGTGGTTCCAAAATCGCCAGCCCCAATTTATTTAAACATGTTAATGAGCCGGCATCGCCGAATGTTTAGATGAACTTAAATATTTGTTTACATTCATTAAAAGAAAATTAAAGCGGAAACAAAGCATATTTTATTGCAAATATTGCCTAGTTTTTATGGCTAAATCCATTATAAGGATCTCTGATCTTTTTTTACTGAATTTAAGCTGATGAAGAACGCAAAAGGAGGAATTTCCAATATCCCATAGTTATTCCTTTGTTACTAATGATTTTTTTTTTCTTGTAAATAAACATATATGTTTTAAACACTCCCATTCACTCCCATTCATTACTTGCCTTATCATCTACTTCCCTTTCATTTCTTATAACCAACCTACTTTGTTGGTTTTGAATGAAATTTCCTTGAATAACCTGGCGCCTAATGGCATAATTGTCTAACAAACGAAGTCCATCCCATTCCATTGCCTCGGAATTGGGTCTCCAGCCATTTTTGGCGGATGTCCGGCACAGTGTGCGCGCTTCTTCGTGAAATGAAATCGAGTACAGCGCTTGCAAAGTTGGAAACCGCTTTGCCTCATTGCTGCTGCTGCTGCTCTGTTGGCTCTATTGCTGCCATTTGCTGTGACCGCCTCTGCACGGAATTCTGAGTGTCCACTTTCACAGTAACCAGCAATGGGCAATTGCAAAAGCGGCTACCTACCACTTCTTCCGCCCCCTTCCTCTGCCCGTGGCCACTTCTATCTTCTGGCCAGCGGAATTTGCCTAGCTGCGTCTAGTCAAAGATACAGATACGAATACACAGATACAGATACTGATGCGAAGACTGAGACTGGGAAGCAAAAGTAGAAGCAGAAGCAGAGGCAGACGCGCTGTCCAGCGGATCACCAAACCGGCACCAAAGCGTCGCTTGAAATGGTTTCGAAAATCAATGCGACGGGAAAATAGAACGAGTTATTTCTGTGCTAAGCGTCTCAATTTCTATATCTTGGTATATGTGTGTACGCTGGCGGGGTTTTGGGGCTAGTGAGTCGTTAGGCAAACGAGTTTCGTGCATTGCCAATT